AAGTTACAAAAAGGAGAAAAGAAACAGATTAATGAATCCAATAGTTTTGTTATAAGAATCATATACTTGGTAGACGTTGAAAAAGGAAGCACTAACAGAAAAAAGGAGCTTCTATTGTTTGCCACTTTCCTCTAGTATAAGTAGTGGTTCATGCCGTTCCCACTTATCCATTTTTCTTAATTTTAAGTAAAATATCTCTGGCCACACCTCATGAATAGGAAGGAAAAGAACTTGGGGGAGAATTTTATGGTGGGACACAAAAGAAAAATACCTTAACATAGTATTTGCGCGATTTTAAACAGTCAAATTCATCAGAGTCAATGAAATTTATGTTTTGTTTTGTTCAAATATCATTATAATAATTATCTAACGTTTAGAGTATGCAATACTGATAGAAAAACCCTATGATAGAAGTTCACATATAGGACTTAGAGGGAGCGGCGGAGTCACTTGAAGATGAGCGGGGGCAGCCGCCCCCACTCAAATTTTTTTTAAAAAAAATATCACCTTTAAAAATTTTAAAATTTTACACTTAAATTCCTACTGAAATAATATATGTCTTTACTAAAATAAATATATTTTCTTATATGCCTCTACTAAGATAATTTGTTAAAAAAAATTTAATGTAGGCCCCACTGAAGTGAAAGGCTAGCTCCGCTACTGCTTAGAGGTAAAAAACTTAATCACGTACTCATGTAGAAAGTACTTTAAATTCAAGGAAATTTGACCCAGTACTCCAATGTATTTCTTTTGTATAATTTTCCCACCTCAGATTGTTTCTCTTGCTAAGTACTGTTCTTTTGTTAATTTGCTGATTGGTTTATGCAACATCAGGATCATTTTCAATAAGATTAAGTCAATTATTAGCAAATTTGGAAATTACTTTTCTGTTGATTTTGGCCAAGTTAATAGTTAGTTAACAAAAGCCAAATTGCAAAAATTACGCAATGTTCAGAATTAGTTTTCAAAAATGCACGTGACTAAGATCAATGAGTTCACATATACGACATTACGGATCCATTTATTTCGCTGATTCGAGTTTTTAATTTAAGTTGAAATGTGACTTTATGTGAGAGCTTTTTATTGTAATAAAAAAGTTAAATGTTATTGTTTCTGAGAACTTTTTACTGTAACAAAACTCAAATTAGTGAAATGAACAAGATGTACGATGTTTACAAATGTTCAAAAACCCAGTAGCTAACGAACCCCCCAAACTAATTAGCATTCCCGCCTACCGTCACACTGGCCACAGGAAGAAGTGAGACGGATTTTCATGACTTGACCAGTCACTCGCCCTCTCGTATTAGAAGATCATCTCACCATGTGGTCGACATTCCATTCCCCTTAGTCGTAAGTGCTTGTTCTATTTTGATTTGAATGGGCTAGATTACTAAAAGTAAACTAGTCTTCGCATCTAATACCTTTAAAGAGACAATCCAGCATTTAAACTCACGACAAAATAATTCCACCACGGCACTCCATCACCGTTAGGCCACTGTTAATGGCAGAGTCAGCTTTTCACTTTTGTAGGGGAGTACATTAAATTTTTTTAACAAATTATCTTAATAGAGGTATATAAGAAAATATATTTATTTTAGTGATGACATATATTATTTCAGTGGGGGGTTTAAGGGTAAAATTTTAAAATTTTTAAAGATAATATTTTTTTCAAAAACATTTGAGTGGGGGCGACTTTCTCCGCTCATCTCCAAATAGCTCCGCCACTGGCCACCGCACTCGGTGGTGATACGAAATGGAAGTTAACTGTCAGCGAGTTATATTTGAAATGAATGTCAATGATTTTCTAGCAACGTTTGCTACTTTGTGTAGGTATAAGACGTGTGGTTCATGTCATTCCTACTTATCTCCATACCGCATGAAAACGACCACAATTTAGCAGTTGTCACAAAATGCTCTAAGTTGAAGGAAAATTATATCAGGTTTTATGAAGTGAGCTCAATTTCATCTCGCTGATTTTTTTCTACTCTTTTTTCCTTGCAAGAAACAAAGAAAGAAAAACTTGTCCTCGTTGTTTTTTATTTTATTCTACAGGATAGCATGATCAAGTCAATCGGCCTAGTTGGGCAACAACTTTGTGGACCGTTGACTATAATGCTAAATTTTCAAGTGATGGACCATGTAAATGGGCCGTGTAGCCTTGGGTTTGCTGCAAAGAGGCCCACCTAAACACCATCAACAACTCCGCCCAAGAGTATAACTCAAATACGTTTTACCTTTTGAGTTAATCGGCCAAAAGAATAGAAAGACAGAGATAATTAGATTAGATTTATTACTGATTAGTTAGAGTTTATCATATAAGCTACAACTTATCAATGATAAATTAGAATTTATCAAAGATGAATAATAATTTGTGTACTAAACAAAAAATAAATCATATATATATATATATAATTTATCTTTAATAAACTCAAATTTATCGGTGATAATAGATGTAGGGTCTCTTTTATAAGCCATCATATATCAATTTGATTTATACCAAGTAAAATTGAGATGCATCAAATTAATTTCAAAGCTAATAAGTTATTCTAAAAAGTGGAATAGAAGCTAATTATCTCCTAAAACTTTGGAATACATTTCTTGTTCGTGCAATTTGTGGATCAACAAGACTTGAATCGCCGGAGCCGAACATGGGTTACATCCACCATGAACTCAAACTGATCACCAACATCCAATAACGTAGAAGTGGCATGACTTTCCATCTCTAGCTCTTCAACAACTGGTGGTGGTTGATGCATCAAAGGATGACTACCACTAGTACTTCTTGAACCACTGCCAACTCAAGCTGACCAAATGTAAGAGTGGCCACTTTTTGAAGCCTCCCGGAGGTATATGCCTCCAAGAAGGCCCCTGTAAAGGCGGCGGTAGTGGTTGGCAGCGGTTTTTATGTCCGACATGCCTCCAGTAACTCCAACTATTTATAGCATTCTCGATTCTGATGATGAACAAGTGGCTCTTTAACTAAGGTCTAGTTCACTTCACAGATTCAAATTTTATTAAAAGTCTAGTTCACTTCACAGATTTAAATTTTCAATTCGAGTTGAGATGTGACATTTTTTCAGAATTTTTAACTGTAACAGAAAAAGTTAGATGTGATATTTTTTAAAAGCTTTTAACTGTAAAAACTTAAAATTGAAAACTCAAATCAGTTAAATGAACGAGCTCTAAGTCTCATATTAGTCTCCGACTAAGCTTTTTGTCTTTTGTGGGCGTACATATTAACTATTTTTAGCTGAGTCCCACATTGGTTGCGGGGTAAGCGTTTTGTCTTCCGTAAGTTTATAAATAAAATCTCGGTTTATTATTTAACCATTCCAAAATGAGAAACATTTGTTATGTTATTCATTTTTTGTATTTTTTAGACAAAGGGTTTACTCCATAACTAATCGAGAACTTAGAAATACAAGAGTACTGAAGACTACTTCTTAGTGCCTCCTGATACAACAATTCTTGTGGTGACAACGAACAAATGAATGACAAATTATAGTAGTCACATGAATCCTTTAAACTACTCAGTTTCTTAAGATACGTTTTAGTCTTTCTTTCCTTTTTTTTTTTTTTTTGTCTTTTCCTAAAAGGTTGTTCACTAATCTTTTGAGATGATGATATCATTTAACAATCCTATGGATATCTTTATAAAGGCAGCACAGTATCCGGACTTCATGGAGCAGCCTCTAGCCACTGTTAAAATAAAATTGTTGATAGCGATCATATGAATGGCATCCGTAACTTAAATTGTATAATATGAGGGGCGTTATTACAGTAGTCTAAAAATTATAATTATGATACTACTTGAAAATTGTAATTATGACACTACTTAAAAATTGTAATCCATTCAATGGTTATTATGAAATAAAAAAGTTTGTAAAAAGTAACATAAAATAAATATCATTACACTAAATTTTTATTACAATTTTTATCAATTATTATGAAATAAAGTAGTTGTTTGTAGAAAAGAATTATTTCATAAAATAAATATTTTGTTACACTATATTTTCTATTATCTTTTTATATTGATTAATTTGATCTGCATAATCTAATCCAATTCGACATATTGGATTGGATTCAAAGAATTTTAGATTGATTACGGATTGAGATTTTCTCAATCTACAATAATATATTAGAATTATAGATATTATATTTGTTTCTATATATTTAAATAAAATGTGTTGTAGAATTTTTTTCAATTATATAATACATATATAATTTAAGTATATATGTAATACATATACATAATCCGTATAATTTTATGTTAATGATATGTTTGCTTTTAACTTTGTTATTAATTTAATAAGAATATTGAAAAAAGAGGAGGGTTAATCCGTAAGTTTGTATAATCTAATCCGCAAAATCTGTTGCAAATTGAATAGATTAAGGGTCTAACAAATTAAATTGGTAACAGAATGAGATTTTTTCAACCTGCATTAATAAATTAGAATGCGGATTGACTCCCAATCCATATAATTTGATCCGTGAACACCTTTATTTGTAATTAAAAATAAAAATTACTTATTTAAAAAATAATAATAAAGAAGCTTTTCATAGACGAAAAACAAACTTCACATAAGTGGGTCTTTCCATACAAAATAATCAGAGACTTGAGTAGTTACAGTATTTTTACTCACAAAATTTTATATTTTAAGTCAGTGATTTAAAATGTAACTTACAGGTATATTTCTCTCTTTTCCTAGGAAAAAATTTCCTTTATTAAGCAAGTATGTTCATCACTTATCAGTTATCACCCTTGGGCAGTAGCAAAATAGTAAAAAAATCCAGAAGGAATAATTGTTTGGCTACTTCGGTAACTGAACCGGATCTAATCAGGAAACACAAGTGTCCACCAATTAACAATCTCCATGCAATTCGCAACACACATTTCCCTCAATGTTCCATCCACATCCTTCCCAATTGGAACAAATCTCAGAGCATTAAACAATCCGTATATGACAAGGAAAAAGGGAAAAATAAATAAATAATAACCATGAGAAATGGCAAAAACCATTGTTCGTTTATACTACAAAAGATCGGTTTCCCATTTCCACCAAAAACGCATATTACAAAAAAAGACTCGCAATATGTTCAGAGCATCTGCAGAAACTAATAAAACTTACACTAGATCAGGTTCCATTGATATAGACAAAAAAGCACAAACGACGCCTAAAAACTTACACAAAAGCGAGGCTTATTCGCATTTTCATACACATCGATATCGATTTTCTACATACTCACGCAGCGACCTTCTTGGCCTTCTTAGCAGCAGGAGACTTGATCGATTTCGGCTGCTTGGGCTTCACAGGAGTTGATTTCTTGCTCCTCTTCTTCTTCGTTGCTGCGGTTGTCGTTTTCTTGGCCTTCTCGGGCTTTTTGCTTGCCCTAGTTTCCCTCTGAGATGTCGTTTTCCTAGTTTCCCTCTGAGATGTCATTTTCGCCTCTTTTGGCTTCTTCTCGGTGCTGGCCTTCGAGACCTTTCCGGTTTCGCTCTTCTCCTTCTTCCCTTCCTCGGAGAGCTTGTACGAGGCCTTAATTTTGATAAGCTTTCCTCTTGCCACGGAGTTCTTTAGTTGAAGAGCGAGAATTTTCTTGAAATTCGCCGGAAGCACCGCCTTGTGCTTCTCCTCCATGTACTTGGCTATAGCGTACGGACTCGACCCGCTCTTATCGTTCAGAGAAGTCAGAGCCTCCTTGATCATCTGTAATCCAAAACAATCCCAAAACGAATTAGAAACGAGAAATTCTTCAAAAACCCTAAGAAACACTATAAACATGATTCAGCTAATTAACTACTGACAAATCTAATCAAAATCCTCTCTGATCATCTGAATCATCGGAATAACAAAAATAATCAAATAACAATTTTCCAGAATCACACTCAAGAATTCAAAATCGCCTGATGGGAAAATTACAATCACAGAAGAAGAAATTCGAACTTTCGATATCGGAAAATTACCTCGAAATAAGGAGGATGAGAAGCGGCCTTTGGTTGCTTGGGCTTCTTCTCCTTAGGAACCCGAGGCTTCTTCTCCTTCACAGGCTTCTTCGGCTCCTCTACCGGAGCTGGCTCCGCCAGCGGGACCTCGACGGAAGGAGCTTCGACTTGGACGGCGGTGTCTGACATTACTGACGGAACGATTAAAAACACTCGCAATGCGAAAGAAACTTCACGAAAACGGAAATTTTGCTTTGCCTGACGCCGGTTGAACTTGGCCGTTGGGATTTTATAGTGGGAGAGCGATCCGCGCCAAAAGAAAAGGCGCGTTCTGATTGGTGGGATTTCGGGTGGCGGGGATTGCCAGCGTGGGAAGATTCATCTGGAGCGTACACGTAAGAGGAACCGCCGCCGTTGGATGAAAGGAAGTATTTACTGCGCAAATGGGTCATATGAGATTACCAGCGTGGACTCATTGGTTTTCCTTTCGGTGGCATTGAGAGTGTCAGAGTGTGTGTGTGTGTGCGTGTGTTTCTTGCGGTGGTTTTGGGATTCATTTTCTGAGGATTTGCTTTGAGTTTCGACTGAAAATTTTTGTGATTATTGAAGCTAAGAAAGCAAAGATTCTAATGTTGATTAAAGGAGGGAAAATGGTTCGAATATACGTGTGACATTACAAGTTGACAATTAGGTTCTTTAATTCTAGGGGAAGATAAACTATTTCTCTTGTGCTTATAGCAACTTAAGCCCCGTTTATTTTGTTGATTTGAGTTTAAAATTCGAGTTGAGATATTATTTTATGTGAGAACTTTTTACTGTAGTAAAAAAGTTAGATGTGATTGTTTGTGAGAGCTTTTTACTGTAGAAAAACTCAAATTCTAAACTCGAATCAGCGAAGTAAACGGGACTTTAGCTTCCAAAAATATTTGTAATAGAAAATTTTGAAAAAACGACAATCGAAGTACCCAATACCTGAATTGAATGTGTTTTCTGTAGTGATCCATAATTAAAAAATATATATAAATATATATATATATATATATATATATATATATATCCACGGGAATTCCTAGCCTGAGCTCTAATGAGTCTAATCCTCTTAGCTACAGCCTACAAGCCCCGCCGCAACTCCGCTGGATATATTTCCACTACAAGAATTTGGTAACCAAAAGCGTAGTAAAATATTTTTCTTACCAAAAAAATTTTAGAGTTTGTTCTTTTAGAGTTTAACTTGAGTATAATTTTTAAATTAAATTTGAGTTATAACTTAAGTTGAACTTGTAATTTGAGTTTGTATTTAGTTGTATACATTTGAGTTATAGTTTGAGATAAGAATCTTTTTGAGTTTGTGTTTGAGTGAGTCAAAACTTAAATTTGTATTTATATAGTATTTTAATAAAAACTCAATGCTGATGAAAAATTTTAATATGGTATATCGGTCGGGTTTTATTCGTCTTTTTATTGTCAACGCATAGAAAAAAAATAATCTCAATCAGAATTAAAACGAAAAAGTTATAGCATTTTTAAGAATAGAAAAAATACTGTTCATTAATTTGAGTTCGAGTTTCTGAACTCGAGTTGAATGGGAAACTTGAACTCAAGTTTTAGTCCTAAACTCGAGTTTGAACTCGAATTTAAACTCGAGTTTAAACTTAAAAGAACATAAACTCGAATAAAGTTGTAACTCGAGTTGCATTTTTTTGAGTTTTTCACTCAAAAGAACAAGCCCTTAGTAGCATAATTATTAAAAATTTAGTAGCAAATAATTTTTACTATCAAAAAAATTTTTAGTAACAAAATATATTTGATAGTAAAATATATGATATTCGGAGACTAAAAATTTTGCTAGTAAAAAACTTTTGGTAGCAAAAAGTATGAGTTCTAGGACCCTAAAATTTTGGTAGCAAAAAGTACGCGATTCAGTCACCAAATATTTGATAACAAAAGGTATTTGGTAGCAAAAGTCATGAGATTTAAGGACTAAATATTTTGTATCAAATTGTATTTGGTAGCGATATATATGAGATTTGGTGACCAAATATTCAGTAGCAAAAAATATGAGATTTAAGGACTAAATTTTTTGTAGCAAAATGTATTTGGTAACGAAAAGAACAAGATTCATGTACCAAATATTTAGTAGCAAATAACTAATTTGTTGCTACTAAATTTTTTTGGTCACCAAAACTGAGACAGATTTATATACCTGTATTTTTTAAAAATAATACCAAATATTAATTTAAAAATCTCAAAATATTTCAATACATATTATAATCCAAACAAAATACTAAAATAGTCATACTTTAACAAACCCAAACACTTATGCAAATATATCAAATATTACAAAAATTAAACGCTCTAACAAACTGAGGCCGATGGTGGTGGTGGTGGTGGGGAGGATCTTATATTCTTGGGACGGAAGGTCCATGATGATCTGATGGCAGATTTATCTATTGAAGTAGGTTTTGAATAAGCTCATGTTGTTGCTTCATTAGAATTTCCATATTCGACATACGACATTTGTTTTCTTGAACTTCATTTTGAAGCTTTTCATATCCTGACCATCTAAATGTGCGACCTTGTGGCGCTTTTCTTAGTACATGACCTATGTCACGCTTGAACCATATTTTTCATACCTCTCACTTGACAAAACTTGAGAGTAAATTTATTCCTCTGCATCAGAGTCAAGTTCTGACCCCTCTGGTACTTCACTTAAATGAGCATCGCGAATCTTGATCATTTATTCCTTCATTAGGCAAAGTATTATAAACTTTCAAGTTAGAATAAAAAAAATACAAAATCAAACGAAATGATAAAGTGTTTAGTAATTCTTACATAATCTTCCTTTGCTCTCTCAGTTGTCCATCCCCGTGATTCGCTCTAATGAGTATTCTCTTAAAGACCTCAAAGTACCCTCCCAAAGCATTCAAGTCAAAACTTGAATGTGTGTTCTACATAGAAATCATTATTTGTTAGTCGGTTAAAAAGAAAAAAGAAATTATGGTTTCAAGTGGTAATATACTTAAGTGAGTGAAGTTAATTACATGAACTTCCTCCAAATGTTGAACTATAGTTCTTGAGTCACCCAAATAACCTGTTGGCTTTTTGGAATGATTTTCCGCAGCAACTTGTGCTTTTTTCTGTATAAATGAAAAAAAGATACATTTAAATGCTTTTAGAATGTGAGTAGTATCGGTTTCCTCCAATCCTCACCATGATTAATCCAGTTTATATAATTTAAGCTAAAACCTCTAACAAAAATATGACGCTCAACAATATCTATATGATGGAAAAAACAATTCAAACATTTTTTGCAAGGACAACGACACTTCCCATCTGTATCTAGGTGATTACGTGCTTGTTCAATAAATTTTCTCACTCTACTCATATATGTCTCTGAAAGTCAGTTCCTCGCATAAATCCAACTATTATCCATATCTGACATGACAGTAGATCTACGAGTATGATCAATGCTTTGAAGTCAAAACAAATTAAAAGTTGGTGCCTAATGCCTGCCGGCTAAACAAATATCAAATGTGACCAGAATTGAATAACCATATCAAGTTGTTTGTTCAAACTCCATAGAAAAAAGAAAAATTTAGTGACAACATCGTTAACAACCTGAACTCAATCACACAACTTAACTCACTGCCAACCACAGATACAAGTTCTAAGAGTCAAACACATCATTATGAGATTATACAATGCAGAGAAACAAAGTCATTATAACCACAGTACCACAGACGGGCCTTATTCATTTCACCGATTCGAGTTTAAAATTCGAGTTTTACTACAGTAAAAAGCTCTCACATAAAGCCACATCTCAACTCGAATTAAAAACTCGAATCAGCGAACTGAACGGACGAATATAACAACAATACTTGCAGACAGAGAATTTATTCATGAACTAAATCAAAATGCTTCCAAGTCTTGTGTTAGAAAGATACATCATCAGTAATACCCTAACCCATACTTGTATACATACTCGGACACAACACACACAACTTAACACGTTTTTTTTTTTTTTATTGTCCTGCTAATTTCATGGGAAGATTGTTTACTTACTCTTGATTTTAATTCAACAAAGACAATACTTTTTGGCTTCAAATGCACTATTGATAAGGTTTGGATTTCACAATATGGTGATATTCATCCTTCCATATCAAGTTCCCTCTTAATGTGTTTGCAAATCTTAAGCCCAACATGTTCACATTATTTTTGGTATTTTCGTACAAAAGAAAACTATACTTAAATCCTCTCAAAGAAAAAAAAAAACTGCTTAGAAGATACCAATCCTACAAATCTCGTCGTTTTCCATAAAAAAGTTAAAATCAACAATAAAAATAAAAACATTTCCACGATGATAAAAGAAAAGAGAGAGAGATAAAACTGACCGGAAATGAGGAGGTGCTGATGGTGAGTAGAGAGATCTCAGGTTTGTCGGCAACCAGGCGACGACGACGAGAATCGGCGGCGGTGACAACGACAATCGACGGCGGTGAAAGACATATTAAAAAACTAAAAAAACACATTTTGATGACAAATATTATTTTAGACTCATTGTTCTAGTAACATTATAACAAAAAATATAGTTTTGAAATTGAAATACATTATTCTATGTTAAAAAGCAATCAAATAGCAAGATTATATACTTAATTAACAAGATCACATATATATACACATGAACATGTCTCTTGTTACGCATACACAAAATAATTAAATTATCAAATAATTGTTATACAAAATATACTAGGATGATTGTTAAAACTTAATATAGGACATATTTATAGGAAAAAAAACAATACATGCACAAAATGTAAGTTTTAAAGTTTTTATATGATTTGCTACCAAACACAACTTTTGGTAGCAAAAAACATCTTTTGTCACCAAAATATGAATTTGGTAGCAGAATCATGTTTTCTGCTACCAAATTTTGGTACCATAAACTTATGTTTTTTGTTACCAAACATTATTTTGGTAGCCGAAAGCATATTTTTCGCTACCAAATTTGAATTTGGTACAAGAAAGACGTATATTAAAAATTAAAAAAATAACGGTTGTGTTTGGAGTTATTTTTGTTTTTGGTTTTCATGTTTTTCAAAAAAAAAAAATGAAAACGAGAGAAAAACGTCGTTTGGCACAATTAAAAACAAAAAACGGAAATGAAAACGATTTTTTAGTTTAGTGTAAAATGGGAGAAATGAAAAATGACTTTTAGTCGTTTTTTTATTTTTTGTTTCCGTTTTCTCCTTTCTCGAGTAGAGAGAGAGGGAGAGACATATAGATTTTTTTTATACTGAAAATAATCTCTTGATAAAACTACCAAACACATTTTCAAAAATGATTTCTGTCTGAGATTGAAAACGTTTTCATTTCCATTTTCATACAAAAATAAAATCATTTTGAAATGAGTTCCAAACGCACCTAACATTTTAATGACAAAAATTATTTTAGAATCATTGTTCTAATAACATTATAATAAAAATGTAGTTTTGAAATTGAAATACATTATTCAAAGTTAAAAATCAATCAAATAACGAGATTATATACTACTCTATATGAAACATATACTTAATTAACAAGATCACATATGTATACACATGAACATGTTTCTTGTTACACCTGCACAAAATAACTAAATTATCAAATTATACTAGGATGATTATTAAAACTTAATATAGGACATAATCATGAAAAACTAAAAAAAAAAAAACAATACAAGCACAAAATATAAATTTTAAAGTTTTTATATGATTTACTACCAAACACAACTTTTGGTAGCAAAAAATATCTTTTTGCAACCAAAATATGAATTTGGTAGCAAAATTTTATTTTCTACTGCCAAAATTTGGTAGTAAAAAATTATGTTTTTGCATTAGCAAAAACTTGATTTTTGCTACCAAATTTTGGTAGCAGATAGTTATATTTTGCGTCCAACACTTGGTAGCAAATGTTATATGTTTTGCTACAAAAAATAATTCAGTAGCAAATACTTTGGGCGGGAAAAAATTTTACTTCCTACCAACATTTTGTTACCAAAACATGTTTGGTAGCAAAAAAGTAATATTTTACTATCAAATTTTGATGGCAGAATCTTATGCTTTTGTTACCAAATATTGTTTTGGTAGCCAAAAACTATTGGCGGGAACCAAATTTCATTTCCCGCCATGTTGTTTGTTTTTGCTACCAAATTTGGTAACTAAAGTCTTGATAATTTCAACTACCAAAGTTTGGTAGCAAAAAGTGTGTTTTCTACTACAAAAAATTTTTTGGGATAAAAAAATTTAGTTTCTTAAAGTGATTATTCTTGTAGTGTTCTGTAAGTACCTAAAAAAAGAGAGACCGACCTATATAAAAATATAGGATTATTATTACTGATGCTCTTGAATTTTAGAGTCATTATCAGTTTACTCTCTAAACTTTAAAAATGATCACTTTGTCTCTTGAACTTTGAATTGTTTCCATTTAATCCCTTCTGTTGCAATTTCTATTAAAAATAGATAAAACAAGAGAATAATACAGTCACATAGTCTTTCTGTTTGGATTTATGTTAAAAAAAAAACAAATAAAAACTACATAACTACACTTAACCTCCTCTTTTTTGTCTGTTTTTAACAAAAATTATAATAAAAACAATTAAGTGAAAACAATTCAAAGTTTAAAAGACAATGTGAGAGTTTTTAAAGTTCATAAGGTAAACATAAACCCCGTTCATTTCAGCGATTCGAATTTAAAATTCAAGTTTTGCTACAGTAAAAAGTTCTAAAAACAGTCAAATCTAACTTTTTTATTATAGTAAAAAACTCTCATATAAAATCACATATCAACTCGAATAAACGAACAAAACGGGCCCAAAAATGACCCTAAAATTCAAGGGGCACTAGTGTGAACAATCTAAAAGTATATTTTAAACTTACACGTGACACAAGTTGATGCCAGCCATTTCAAGGGGAATCAAATGCGCAAATGTTAGCAAATACCTCATCATAGTTAGTAAATCTCAAAGTTCAGCTTTTGCTTTAAATCAAAATACAATGTGATATTCTTTGTTCACGATTTATTCTAATTGAAAAGAATGATGAGGCAACGATAGTTAGATGGCTTTCGCACTCACTTTGTTGTTTAATAAATGCTTAAGTTGGTTTTTAATTTTCAAAAAGATCATGATATTCCGCATAGGCTTGCTAACACCATCTTGGCAACGCTTGAGCAAAAATTGGCCTTAAAAACAATGAAAAATGTAAGTCTTACAAATTGTTTTAACACAAATTTCACGAATCAACTTATGCAAGTGCAAGGGCGCGCAAGCTTTTTATGGTTTTAATATGAAATTCGTGAAGTGTGGAGGAGATTAAAAAAATAAAAAATAAATAAAAACCATCCAAAAATAGCTTAAATACAACAGTAACCAGACTCATAACAGTTGAACAGAAGAATCTAAACTCAGCTACAAAATACAGTGCCAGAGAAGTGAATCAAAAACCTCGTTCATTTTACCAATTTAAATTTTCAATTCTAATTTTACTACTGTTAAAAGCTCCCACAAAAAATCACATCTTTTTTTACTATAATTAAAAGTTCTCATAAAGTCACATCTCAGCTCAAATAAAAAACTAAAATCGGCGAACAAAACGAGACCTAAGAATCTAGATACACATAAGGAAGCAAATGCCAACAACCAGTTATGTTTTTCATTCACATCAACCTATTTGTTTCCTATCCCTCCAAGGCTCCAACAAAAACTGCTATGCGGAATAGATCATAATCATATCAAACGAGAAGCAAAACTCTTATGAATTTATGACATCCATAGAAATTAATTTTCCTGTACAATTATACTTCTTATAGAATAGTAAAGGTAATAGTAAAAACTATAAAAATTACAAAAAAGCTACAATCAAGAAAACACAAGTCTCCATAGGCACCGGAAAAGGATTACGCCCCACATCATAGCAGCCAAAATTATGAACCAACGAATAGAATATAAATGCCGACAGAGAAACCTGTAAAAAAGTTATGATGATGATGGTGGTGATTAACAACGTAGACGGCCCGGTTTGAATTACTAGGGAATAAATTCCACGTTGTTATGTCCCAATTCCAGCACAACAATCAAAGGGAAGATCTGTCTCCTGTGTAAAGACTAAAGCCACAGAAGGTTGTCTGGTTGAACATGAAATATACATTATGCAAGTCAGGGTGTTCGATCACAGGAAAAAAAGAAAACCAATTCTCCAAGATCATTGATTATGCGCTTGTGCGAAAATAACCATACAGTTTCACCAAGACGTGACAACTAACTATTCTACTTTTTCCCCGGAAACGGCGTTAACAAACTTTCCCCCAAAGCTTAAATGGCATAGGATCTACACCTGAAAACTGAATACTAAACCTTAGCACAGGAAATTTTGCCCATCAAACATGAGTATGAATCTATACGCTAAGTGCTATCTCAAGTCCCAATCACTATTGTAACCATAAAAGATAATATCTAGAAGACTGAGCTTGCACTAAGATGCACTCCTAATTTCCTCAACCTTGAGTTGAACAAAATTTTTAATGAGAAAGATCGAAATCCTCTTCTTATGGGAATTAGAAGTTCAAACAATTGTCACGCAATCAAACCTTATAAGCCATTCAATTTCACCCAGAAAGAAATCCCACCAAGAATGTTTCAACTGCAATCTCAAGTCGCATTTCATAAAACACTTGTTTCAGAAACAAAAGTAGCACATGACCCTCAAATGTTTATTCCCATACCTGAATTTTCAATATTTGACAAAATCTATCACTTCTACTCCTAAAAGACGGGCACCAAAAACAAAATGCAATTCTCGTTCCTACTAGCAGCAGCACTTTTTCCTCATAAAAAAATAATAAATATAAACGAAATTCTGATATACTTTAGCAAATAAGTTCCTTGAACAACACAAAAGAAATATCGCATTCCTCACTCCATGTCAGGCAGGCAGAAACACATAAGATCCTCTACCCTAATCAAAAGAAACCACTGATAATAGATTATGAAAGTTCCTGACAATATCTAAAAGCACCATAATTCCACCAGTGGTTGCGAATCTGCCACCTCTGTCTCACTAGGCAACCATCGAGGTCATCTTCCACAAAAGCCCCCATCTGAATATTTCAAATTAGTATCCTATCTCCATGGAAGATTCAAAAAATCATAACCTGAAATCTTTTGCCTCTCCAGTAAGTCACCCACTTTATCTCCTTTAAACCACCAAGATTGTATGTCATCAAGAAATATAATCAACCCATTCACAATTATAAACATAGCAGGAAATGAAATCTGCACTCGTGCACAACAGCTCATTACTGACCTCATCAAGCTGTTCATACCTAGGGCAAACAAGGCATGTCTTGTACCATCTCCATTATATATAAGTAAATTAGTTTCTTAATCAAGACTCTTGGAGGCCAACCTAAACTAGAGAGATACGTCTAAACTCTGGATACTCTACCAAAAATTTGTAGAAAAGCAAACAAAAAACAGATGAGAAAGATAAGGAGCAAAAGCAGAATAAAGACCAAGAAGAGAAATGATATGGAACTTCAACTGCCTTTCAAACAGCAAGACATCAGTAATGAAGTGCATCCTGCATTTACATACCCAAATAAACACAATATATGAGAACCTATGAGACATTAATATAGATGAGAATACACCATGGAAAAATTGAAACCAAACATACTAACAATTAATCTTACCGGAGTTTCTTGAGTCTAGAAGTAGTAGCCACATCGAAAGGGGGGCTGATCACCCCCATAAAAAGATGAATATGGACCTCCAGCATACTGCGAGATGAGCTTATTGAATAAAATATCATCAAAATCATATAGTAGCATCAGTATCATGATAGCAAATTTCTTACATCAGGGCCATAGAAATCAGAAGAGTAGAGATTGTTGCCGCTTCCGTAATTATCTAGACAAAAAAAATACATATATAAAAAATAAGTTGATGAAACAGTAGATAAAATAAATCCCTTTACGCATATGATATGAAGTTAGTTGTAAGCACGCACAAACACTAAGAGGCAAAACCAAATGTAGCATATATACCATGATATCGATTTCCCTGAAAGGAAGACGCAGGATCAGGATAATCTAATCTTGGGCGAATTCTACTCGGCTCCACATAATCAGGGTCAGGGTCCTACATCCATTAGCATAATGCCAACTGGTAAAACATACTATGAATGATATGATTAGCAACATTTGAGTGAAAAGGTAAATAGGAAAGCTTACTCTCATGTATAATGGACGCTTCATTCCATGCATATTGTCACCATAAAGATATGAGTCGTCAAAATGACTTCCTGGAAAAGGTCTTTCAAACCTTTCTGGAGAATATGGTTGCCTCCTTGCAGGATAGTGCATTCCACGTTCTCTATCTGGCGGACCATGCCAAGGTCTATCAACATTTGGTCCAGAAACCCCACTACCTGGGTAATGACCACCTCTAAAAGCGCCTCTTCTTCCACCTGTTTTCTTTACACACGTTAGATTAATAATATAATCTATTTAGTGCTTAACCTTGCAAATTTACACACCCACACACACACAGAGATTCCAAAAAACAATATATATATATATATATATATATGATGGCAAGTCCCGCAGACAACCTCTTCCAACAAACTGTCTCCCATGAAAGTCGGGATATTGATTATCGAAGCCATGCTCATTAAGAAAACCGCTTCTACCCATTTGACCACGTCCACCATGATAAAAACCCCTGTTGCGTGGGATGTCACGGGGGAATCTTGCATTGTTGAATGGATTTCTAGCTCGGCCAAAACCCCTCCCTGTAAAGTTGGAAATAAGTGATATGGACATAACCCACCATTCCTAATGAAGCTATCATTCTAAATAAACAAAGAAATTAACAGATGGGACTACCAAATTTAGGAAAACCGCCATCACCACGACCTATTCGAAATCCACCAGACATTCCACCCTTTACAGCCTGAGTTTTGGGCAAAGGATTTGACAGTCTTGCTTTCACTTTTATCTAGTATCGCAAACGCAAACATAATATACTATCAGAAATAAATCAGACTCGCTTGAAGGTAGGTACATTAGCCCAATTATTAAACAACAATCCACATGCATGGGCAAAGAGATTGAAATTTGCGAGGAAAGAGGGAAAAACAGGAAAATAAATTATTATACAAAATCACAGATAACATTAACATGTTCGAGTCCTAAAGCCTGTTCAACTACACAATTTGTATTCATTTACTTCAAAGTCCCTGGTACCTAATGTCTCAACAATAATAGGCTGACAAGCTTAATAAAGCCATACCTTTGAGTTCCCATCAGCAAACTCCGAATTGTTTATACCATCAATACAAGCAACGGCTGCTTCATGGGTAGAGAAATCAACAAAACCAAAATCCTCTCTCTTTGCTGTTGACATATTCCGTGCCAGGCAAATACGTATAATTTCTCCATAACCTTTAAATTGCTCTCTTACCCAGTCTTCGTCCCAATGAGGTGGAAGCCCGTCAACAAATACTGACTTAACTTGGGCCATGATGTTTGGATCAGGCTCGCGTAAAGGTTCAGCAAAAGCAACTTTGGCAGTTCTCTCAAGGTGGCCAAAAATAACGTCAGGTTTTTGAAGTCTCTTGTAAGCAAACATGGCATCAGCATGACATGAGAACTCAATGAATGCAAAACCCCGGCTCAACCCTTCACGTTGAAGGTCAGGAACGAGAGTAATGTTCTCAACACCCTCAACGCCATATTCCTTCAGCTTTTGGTTAATCTGACATGCCACATAGTATAAAGAACTATTACAACCTAAAGAATACATGTGCCTAGAAATTATTTGTTGATATACTAAATTATTCGCATCTAATCACTCACAGCTTCCTTGGTCCATGTATTGCAGATATTGCCCAAGAACAACGTGTCATTGTCCTCACTTGGTGCGGTCCCACATCTCTTTCCATGAATCTGCATTGGTTTGAACATATCAGAACAGAACTAAACTTATCGATACATAAAGGAAAGAAAGCTAGGTAGAATCATACAACTGGGTTTTTCATTTCTGACAATGCTCGCTTTGCGTGCTCCTTCTTTGCATATTCCACAAAAGCATATCCCTTATTCTTATTCGTCAAAGGACTTTTGTGCAACCTAATTTCAACTATTTCTCCCATCTTCTCAAAGACCTTTCTCACATCCTCCTCCACAGCATCTCGATCCAACCCACCAACAAACACCTCCCTCTCTTTCCTGTTCTTCCGCTCCTTCACGATTGCCGTCAATTCCCTCTGTTCCTCTTCCAGTGCCTTAGTTTCCTCAGCAGGCTCATCTGTATCATTCTCTCGAAGCTCTTCATCTTCATTTTCTCCAAGATCCAACTTTTCCCCGTATTCCACTCCCTCATCACCATCAAACTCCTTTACAGACTCAGAAACTTCTCCTTGCAATCCCTCTTTCACGTCTTCTTCCATTTTTGAAGACCCAACATCGAGCTGCTCCTTATCTCCACCATCCGTCAACTCCTCTTCTACTTTCTCCGCTTTCTGTTCATCCTTTCCAGTTCCACCATCAGACGCTTCATTTTTCAATATCACACTAGACTCCACAACGCAAGGTTTTCCTTGTTCTGCAGTATCTCCAACATGTCCACGAGAACTAATTTCCGGTTCCTTCATAGAAGATTCTCCAACATTTTCAACAATGGGTTCTTCAACCTCTACATCCTGACCTTCCTCCACTGCAGATTCTCGGGTATTTTCGTCACTATGTTGACAGTGTTCTTCAACTCCTTCCACAACCTCTGACACCCCCACTTCCTCCTTTGATTCTTCAGTTTTCCCCAGAACTAAAGACTCCTCCGGTTCAGGCATCCGCGAGACACCGCCTTTTTCTGAGCTACGCGTCCTCATCTTCGCTGGCGTTCTTCTCGCAAATGACTTCGTGACTCTACCGGCTCTCGCCGTCGTCGGTGTCACCTCAACAGAACCAGGCGTTGCTTCACCTTCTTCACCTACTCATCAAGCACAAACACAACATTGGAAAACCAAAACACTAATCTCTATAATGCCGAACCATAAAAATTCAAAAAATTGATTCCAAACCGAATTGATCAATTCAAACCCTGAGAACCATAATCTATATTGTCCGATTATCAAAAGTCGTCACAAAATTGATTCCGAACCTAATTGATCGATTCAAAACCCTATGAACGAAAATTGAATTCAGCGATTAAGAAAAAAAAATAATAATAAACCGTTCGGGACTAACTAACCGGATCTTTGTTCTGGTTTTTCCGTCATCGGCGGAGTATTTTGGTTCTTCTTCAGCTGCTTGGCTCTGGCGGACGGTTTCCTCGCCGGCGGCGTCTTCTTTGGCGTCGCCGCCGATATGGGCGTGTCCGCTGTACGAGTTTTCATGGTGATGATGATAACTTAGAGACGAAGGAATTCGATTGTTCTGCGGAATTGGAAGCTGAAAGATGGTAAAAAACTAAAACCCTAGGGGACGACTGAACCCGGGAAGAGAAACAAGTAATGGGAAACGCTCAAGTTGGTTAATGGATAAAATTTTGCAGCAAGGACCTGTGTTGTGTAAATATAAGCCTAATTCGTTTTATTAATTTGAGTTCTTACGATTAAAAATTTTTAAAAAATATTATATTTAATTTTTTTATTATAATAAATTTTTTTTAAAAAATATCACATTTTAATTTAAATTAAAAATCTAAATTATAAAGAATGTCATAATATAAAGATGATGATGACCCGCAGTTAAATATAAATCTGGGTCCTTTATGGAAATACAAAATTTAAAAATGACAATAAATATGGTGTCGTTAATGCACGTGGGAAAAAAAAACCGACCATCATTGAGGAAACGGCAATAAATGTACGTCAGTTTAATTTTGCAGCAAATTCACAATTGCTTTTAGGACAAATTACACGTTTTCCCAACCAAGTTAAAGGCCTCGTCATATCTCTAACTTCAATTTTGCTTTTTTCCTTCTGAACTTTAATAATTATTGTAAATTTTCCCTCTCAACAGAATTTTTAGCGAAAAAATGTCACGTAAAATATTAAAACTAACCAAAAAAAACCTCTAATTTTTAATAAAAGTAACACATATCACATAAATAATGAGAGTTGTTAAACTATTTTAGTACATAATTGCTCTATTAACTCATCTTCATTAGTCACACATAAGTGTAATTATGTAATAAGAATTGTCATTTTTTTATTATAATAAAGGCACGTTTAGTTCACTGATTCGAGTTTTTAATTCGAATTGAGATGTAATTTTATGTGAGAGCTTTTTACTATAGCAAAAAAGTTAGATGTGATTGTTTGTGAGAGCTTTTTACTGTAGCAAAACTCGAATTCTAAACTCGAATCAGCGAAATGAATGGAGCTTAACTTTCTCTTAGTTTACTTGACCTAAGGAACCTTAGATGTTCATTAATGGTGACCAACAACAATAACATAAGTAAGAATTTGATAGAAAAGAAAAATTTACAGGAGTTGCTAAAGTTTGGGAGAAAAAACTAAAATTCAAATTTAACAAGTATTTTGTGATAAGGTCTATAATTCGAGAGCAAAACGTGTAATTTGTCCTTGCTTTTATCGTTAAGGATATAGCCTATTAAAAAAACCTTAATCTCACCAATACCCCTAAACTTGAAATAATTCTTAATTTCCCTTAAAAACATTAAAACTATTACTTTATCACCTCAAATTTTAATTTTCCATTTGACTCTATTTGTCAGAAATTTTGTTAAAGCCAGACAAGAAAAAGTATAGTATGATCATTAGAATCTGTTAAGAACAAATGGAAAAAGACCACGTGATAAGGTTAAATCCTCTCTTTTTCTAAATGATTTAACAAAATATTATAACAAAAGGGATTATATAGGAGCAAATCAAGCTTTAAGAGAGGTAAAGTAGGAGTTTTATAAGTTTAGAATTTAAACTAAGAATGACTGGTCCAGAATACCGGTCAGATTAACTCAAAATAAAAAATAAATAAATAAATTGTCATGGAACGACAATAGTAAGTACAGTGTCGTTAAATTAACATAACAAACGACTACAAATATGGAGTGGGAAACGACAATTACGACGACATTGTCAGGAAACGACAACTGTTATGGTCGCGCTACTTGTTTAACAAAATGACAGACATAAACGACAACAAATACAGTGTCGTCAAGAGTGGCCCAATCATTACGGGTTAAACAAAGCATTCGGTTGAAGAAGTTGGAGAAGGCAGTTGCAGACTTCGCGGCACTCTTTCTTCCGTTCTCCGATCGGCCACGGCGTAGCCGCGTAGGCGTAGAATTACAGAGTAGCACCAACGAAACGGTGGCGTTTCAGTCATGGGAGCTTCAGAGTCTGCCCTTTCAAGCTCACAGGTAGAAATGAATGGCGAATTCACCAAAAAAAAAAATTTTTTATTTGCTTTTTGACCCTAAATTTTCCTGTCTTTATTTTCTGAACACAAAATCCGATTTTTCATGCGCGAAGAGGCCTGCCGATGAAATCACGACCGTGACGGAGCGATCGGAAGTCGCCGATCCTATCTTAGAGAGGCTCAAATCCCTCAAAATAGTGAGTTTTCTCTTTTTAATTTAGGGTTTTTTTCAAAACTTTGGCTCAAAGATCAAGGTTTGAGATATTGTGAATCGCAGTCGACGCCAATACTGACGTCGCCGCCGACCGAGAGCAGCTTGACCGACATTCTAGTGAGGAAACCTTCATCTTCGGCTCCAAGTATGCTTTTTTTTTAATATATTTTTTTCATTTCGGAATTCAAGATTTTTTAAGAGTGTATTCATCTTGCAGTAAATTTGTGTGCATTAAACGAGTATGATTTGAAGAGAATGACAATTTTTTTATTTTAAATATTTAATATGTTTGATTTGAACTTAGGTACTGTGGATCCTAAGGTGTTATTGGAACTATTCTCAATGTACCGTGACTATCAGGAGGAGAAGGCCAAGAAAATTAGCAAAAACCAGGTTTTTTTTTTTTTTGGGGTTCTTCTTAGAATTAGAAGATAGAAAACATAATATTGACCAGTTTTAAGCAGACATAATATCCACTTAGTTGTGTGTTTACACTGGATTAGTTTATTGTGAATCCTTAATCACCATATATATTGTTCATTTTCTCTTTCATAGTTAGATCTGAGGTTTTTTTTTTCTTTTTTCAATTTTGACAGTTCGATCCCAGACGAGCGTTAAAAATGTTAACAATATCCATGTGCAATCTAAGTTAATGTCCAATGGGCTCGTATTTTTAATGTCTGAACTCTGAAATATGCCATAATTTCTAGTGGCTTAGAGGAATACACTTTTTGGAATTCAAATGTTCCTGTTGTGGAAAATGTAAGCCTAATTTTCACGTCAAAGTGATGCAGAAGATGAATAACTAGACTTTAAAAGGGATATATAGAGCCTGATTTAGTCCTTGTTTCTGAACATTAGCTATAACATGTTGTAATCTTGTTTGTCATTAGTTGGAAGTTGATAGTTCAATGATTTTAAGTAGTTAGATGATTAACCCCTGCTTCTAAATTTCACTAAGTTGTCAAGGATTAGCAGTGCTTGGGAATTTGCTTGTTTTACTATGTATTATAAACTTTGTACTAAACGCGACCTAATGCGGTGTAAAATGTATCAGGAAGAAATAGAAAACAAGATTGAAGTTGCAGATGCCTTGGCTGTTAAGCTTCTTCAACGTCTTAACTACTCAGTAGCAGCAATGAAGATCACTTCACAGAATTTATCAGAGGGTATCGTCGAAAATCACTCTCTCTCTCCTCTCTCTCTCTCTCTCTCTCAGTTACTTTACCGGCTGATTCTATTGATCATTTTCATCACTTGCGGGGTTTCTTTTAGTTTCACACTGGAATTTGCAGTTCATGCATTGCAGGTGGAGATTGGGGAACTTAAAGGGAGGTTGACAGAAGTTATTAGCAATTGTGATGCATTATGCAGGAGAATAGCAACAGAAGGACCAGAATCTCTTCGGTCATCCGTTAAGCCATTTGCAGTCGCCGCAGCTAGTCCAGAAAATGGTTCTGGCTCATCTTCTCTACAAAGCGTGATTCAAATTCAAAGAAGCCCACCTTCAGAAACCCAAAGCGTGATTCAAATTCAAAGATTCCCACCTTCAGAAACCAAGTTAGACTGACATTTTGGCATTTTCTTTCTTTCTACACGCTTGAATTGAGTTTTAGATTCCTGATCACAATTGTTCTATTCTTTTGTTGGACTAGTAATGTTTTGGAACTGAAGAAAACAACCAATGAAGTTATATATATACTGATTTTGATTCACAAGTGCTATTTTACCTTCATGTTTTGACGAGACATCTTTGATCAACAGACGTATCAATAACAGAACGGAAAGAATAAGAAAATGACATGGGCAAGCAACAAAACTACCACAAATAAAATATGTTTTTGTCTCCATTGGCAAGGCCAAGATTAACAAATATACCAACAAGATCACTACATATAAACATCACTACCAACCTAACAAGTTGCTCTCAAAACTAAATCTATAATTGTGTGAAGATCCATTCACTAATATGATATGGCTATTATTGTCGAATCTTAGACAGACACCATCACGTGAGGTAATTGAAATACTTGCAAGTTATTTTCATTTAGCAGGTGACATGCCAATTCTTCAATTTAACCAGAAGAACTCCTACTACCGACATAAACTATAGGGGAAAAATTTGAGCTTTACCACCTAAGTACATTGTCAAGGGAAGATAATCAATTCCATTAACATAGATATAGAGACCCATAATTGTTTTCATTCTATCAAGATTTCCATCTGATACACATAAATGAAAAGTCAGTGACTTGCATAAGATATATTTTGTAACTTCTTAATCCAATGAATCAATTAACAAAAAAAGAAGTGGAACAACAACAATAACAGCAACAACAGCAACTTAATCGATGTGAGAAAACGAAACAAAAACACAAAATTAACTACAAACCAAACTACATCTTATATTTTATAGCTCTTTTTAAAAGAAACTCCTCCAGTTGTAATTGAAATCCCTCCACCACCAACAAAAACTCACAAATCATGGCTGTTGTTGTGCATCCATGTATCCAGCATCAACAAGCACCTTCTCTCTCTTAGCCAACTCAATATCCTCATCCACCATCATCTTCACCAGTTGCTCGAACCCGACTTTCGGCTTCCACCCCAGAACCTCCTTGGCCTTGGTGGCATCACCCTTGAGGTTATCCACCTCCGCAGGCCTAAAATACCTCTTGTCAATCACAACATGGTCTCTCCAGCTCAACCCCACGTATCCGAACGCCGCCTCAAGGAACTCCTCCACCGTGTGTGACGCCTCCGTTGCGACGACATAGTCGTCGGGCTTCTCCTGCTGCAGCATCATCCACATTGCCTCAACATAGTCCCCGGCAAACCCCCAATCTCTAGAAGCCTGCAAATTCCCCAGAAACAGCTTATTCTGCAGCCCAATCTTGATCCTCCCGACCGCTCTCGTGATCTTCCTCGTCACAAAATTCTCCCCGCGGCGAGGCGATTCGTGATTGAACAGAATCCCATTGCAAGCAAAGATCCCGTACGCCTCGCGGTAGTTAACGGTGTACCAATGCGCGGCGCATTTGGAGACGGCGTAAGGCGATCTCGGGTGGAACGGCGTCGTCTCGTCCTGCGGCGGCGGAGTGGACCCGAACATCTCGGAAGATCCAGCCTGGTAGTACTTAATGTGGGACCTACCGGTGGCGGAGATGTGGGACCGCACGGCCTCGAGGAGGCGGAGGGCGCCGGTGGAGACGACGTCGGCGGTGTAGTCGGGGATCTCGAAGGAGACGGCGACGTGGGACTGGGCGGCGAGGTTGTAGACCTCGTCGGGGAGGATGGTGTCGAGCCAGCGGCGGAGGGAGGAGGCGTCGGAGAGGTCGGCGTAGTGAAGCTTCATGCGGGCCTTGTGGGCGTTGTGGGGGTCGATGTAGATGTGGTTGATCCGCTGGGTGTTGAAGTTCGACGACCGTCGGATCAGGCCGTGGACCTCGTACCCTTTCTCGAGGAGGAACTCCGTCAGGTACGATCCATCCTGCCCGGTTATGCCGGTGATCAGCGCGATCTTCCTCGGAGATTGAGCCGGAGCCTCGCCGTTGATTGCGGCAGATTCGGAACCGGAATTGGAATTTTCTTTCTCGGACGCCATTGTTGTTGTTTTTTCCTTTTTTTTCTTCTTCGAGGGGTGTTTGGGAGGGAGGAAAATGAGGGGGAATTTAAGGGAGTTGGGGAGCCGGATCTAAAAGCTCTTTTTTGCTCTCTTCTCTGTGCAGGACGAAGACGCGATTTTTCCGTTCTACGTTCTGGTCGAATAGGAGAGGGACACGTGGAGAGGGAGGGTCCGTGTGGTCAATACGTAAGGGGACACATGTGAGTGTTGACGATACGATTGTGTCCTTGGGGCGTCGGTGATGGCAAATGTATAATAATACTTGTGCACTTCGCGGATTCGAATTTTTAATTTGAGTTGAAATGTTATATTTTTTTAAAATTTTTTACTGTAGCACAAAAAATTGATGTAATATTTTTTAAAAAATTTTTTATTGTAAAAATATAAAACTAAAAACTCGAATCGGTGAAATGAACGAAACAATATATTTTTTTTGCTCAATAAGAAGTGAGGGCAAATTTATGCTCTAATCTCTACCCTTTGTTTGGGAAGGTTTGTATTTTTACTAAAGAAAATAAATATAAATTAAGACTTTTTAATTAGTGTTTAAATAGCTATTAAACTCTCAATTGATGCAATGGGGAGGTTTCTTAATCCCCAACATAACCTTACTACTATAAATACATTCTTAGGTCTCGTTCATTTCACCGATTCGAATTTTGTTATAGTAAAAAATTTTTAGAAATAATCACATTTAATTTTTTTGTTACAATAAAAGGCTCTCACATAAAGTTACATCTCAACTCGAATTAAAAATTCGAATCAGCGAACTAAACAAATCCTTAATAATTCATTAAATTAGATATTTTTTGTTTTTTTATTGCCCCTTGGTGTTTGGCAAATATAAAGATTGGAAGGAGAATTGAGATTTACCTTCTTAGGGTGTTCAACAATTACAAGTTAATTGATGACGCCTACACACTAAAAAAATTATGAGAATAATAACTGAAGATCAAAAGATTGATGTATGATAACACTTTTATTTTACGTATTATAGTTTGCGAAGATATAACAACAGTATAAGTTTATTTAGTTCACAGATTTAAATTAAAAAATTTAAGCATAAATTTAAATTTATGAGAGAAAATGTATTAAAAAATTTAAACAGCATTTTAGATTTATGAAACAAACGCGTGATGTATTCATTTGTCTTGTAGGAGTTGCTACATCCTTTCAAATCAATCTTATATGGAATCAATTTTATCAGCATCAGTCGTGTTGAAAGACAATCGAAAGTCCATATTACATATATTGTTAGCGCAGTATTCCTGAAAAGACGGATTATAATCCATTAATTTGATAGAGCACGTAAGAAATTTTTATCATTTTCCTTAAATTAGGAAACTAGTGTACTGAAAAAAGGAAACGAGTTTAGAATTTGAGTTTTATTACAGTAAAAAACTCTCAGAAATAGTCACATTTAATTTTTTTATTATAACAAAAAATTTTTACATAAAATTATATCTCAACTCGAATTAACGAACTAAACGGACTTTTAGATTATGTTATTGTGAACAAGTCATGAGATTTGCCTAACATTTCAAGAAAGTCATTCCAAATTAACTGAAGCATTTATATCTCGAGGCATTGTCAACAAGCAAATTTATGCGATTACACAAATCGAAATAAAGGTTGCAACTAGAATTGAACCTATTTTCCTTAATATGTAGTTGTTTAATCATGTACAAAGAAATGGTTGTTCAATTACATTTACATAAACTTGTGGTTTTGACTTTTAAAGGCTAAAAGAAAGGTTTGTCCGCTAGAAAACTATAACCTAGTTTCCCAAAACAAATTACCATTATTAATATTGCTAATTTATCTTTTAGAGTTCTTTTTCTTTCTTTCTTTCTTTTTTTTTTTGGGAGGAAAGTATAAATATCATTACGTGTCAGTAATTAAAATATCAGAATAAAAGACACATTAAAACGATATGAAGAAGAATACTCCATTCATTTTACCGATTCGAGTTTATAATTCGAATTTTATTACAGTAAAATGCTCTAAAAAACAGTCACGTCTATATTTTTTATTATAGTAAAAAACTTTTATATAAAGTCATATCTCAACTCGAATTAAAAATTTAAATCGGCGAACTAAACGGGTAAAAAAATAACGAAAAGATCCTTCAGAAACAAAGCAATAATAACGAAAAGAAAGATGTAAGGGGAAAAAAAAGGACGTGTTTGATTCTTTTTTTTTGCCCGTTTCAGGTTCAGTCAAAACGACGTGTTGTTTCTCCTTGTAATCAAATAGAAACGACACGTTGAATTATCAAATAAGGGCAGCGAGTTTTTTTTTTTTTTTCCACAAGTAACCGACATCAAAACAAGTTATAACTCATAGATTAGAGTAAATAGCATCGTTTCACCCTAAGCTATTTGATTATTATATAATGGATCTCGTACTTTTAATTTTGATAAAATGCATTATAAATTTTAAAATCAATAATAATTGAAGTCTAATAGCCAACAAATTTATTAAATTGATGGTTTATGATAGAGATTTGCACATAAAAAGGCTTAAATCGTCATTTCTCAAATTATATCACGTGTAAATTTCGTGTCTCGAACTCTCAATTTGATAACGCTATTAATTATTAGACTTCATTGGCAATTGATTTTACAATCCAGTGTGCATTTTGTCAAAATTGAAAGTTTGAGATCCATTATGCAAAAAAAAAAAAAAAAACACATAATTTGGGGTGTAACAATGCAATTTCTATATAATTTTGGTTTATTAGCATTCTTAGTCATTTAACCACGAGTATTCTTATATTTTGATCCTCACTTTTAATTTTGATGAATTACTTGTTGAACCTTGATTTTTAACAATTTTTTATACCTAACACTAAAATTGATGAACGGTTTTTAAAATTTAACATAATTAATCATGTATCAATCACATGAAAACTTGAAATTTTATACAAATAGTTTTGGTTTATGAAAAATGTTCTCATCTTACTGTTAAATCTCATTCAAAATTAAAACATTTTGCACTTAATTTAACTATTTATATAAAGTTTCTAATTATTAACAACAAAGACGTAATCATCTATGTAACATATCGCAAACTATCATTAATTTTAACATTGAGAACTAAAAATGTCAAAAGAAAAAAAAAGGTTCTAATCTTAATTTGTTAAAATTAAAAATTCTAATTCTAAACTTTTTTTTTAATTTTAACAATTGAATTTTTAATTTTAACAAATTAAAATTAAACTGTCACAACCCAAAAAATAGGGCCGTGATTATTGGGGTTTAATTTAAAATTTAACTTAATTAAACTGGACTGTTTAACAAAAATCACAAAAAAAATAAATACATAAATATTAATATAGTTTGCTCCGGAGACTTTTTTTCACAAATAATATTTAAAACAGTCCATAAAGTCTAAAGAAAATAGTACAACTCTGAAACAATGTCGACCAATATAGTTTACATACAGAAATACAATACATCTCAGAATTTAAAATTGTGAATCCGAAACAAACGTACCGCTTCGAATCTCACGTCCTTAATCCATTGGCATCCACTTGTCACGCTGTAAATCTAAACCGCTAACTCTGGAGGAGGGGTTTAAAACATTAAAAACATAGAAAAGTAAGCGGAATGCCCAGTAGGACATAATCTTATAAAACATAATAAATAAGGTACTCACGGTCCGAAGACATGCACTCAGAACCGATCATCCTTTTTTTTTTAAAAAGAAAATACTCACATTGTAGTAGAAAATATATGTAATATGAAAGTGTGCAAATTATCATACCACTGAGCAAGGAGTGGTAAAATGTCTGTCTAGTGAAAAAGTGCAGAGCCATAATTCCACTGAGCAAGAAGTGGATCCGTACGGGTTTCGGGACCTGCCCCTAAGGGTATGATTCTCATATCCCGATCTCTGTGGCCACCATGCGTTGTATCATTCCTTAAAAATATTTCATTTTAAGAAATGATACTCTTTAAAATCTCATTTCCAAAATCATTGGAAAACTTAATAGCATTATTCATGCTATTTCATTTAAAATCATTTTCTTTCAACATGTTTTGTTCAAAAACATTTTCATTGGCCAAAATCATTTAAAGTGAGGCTAACAAAGATATGGACAAGAATATCCTACCTTTTTGGATGTCAAACCTGTGGCTATCTTCACGTAACCCTAGCTCCGCTTGCCTTAAAGCTTTAATATTCGACATTCTCCACTAGCTTTATCACAAAAGCAATATCTTAGGAAGTATTTCTCATTCCTAAAAGGAATTAAGCTCAATCATGTTTAATTGTTTCATATTAGTGTGTATTGACTCAAATTCAAGTTTCACAAATGAGTTTATAATTAGTTTGAGGGTTCTTTAAGGATTGAAATCCAATCCATGGGTTTAGTTTGCTATTTAATTTCAGTTTAAAAACAAGTTTTTAAAGAAATTTCGGCAGCATGCCAGCATAAATAGGAAAAATATCAAACCTGCAAGTCAAGCTCAATTTCAAAATAGATTATCCATAATCCATCAAAACCAGTTTCCAATCAATTAAACAAGTCCAATAACTAAAAACTCCTAAATTTAATTCAATTCTAACAACAATTTTTTAAATCCAAACCCTAACTCAAAATTATTCAAATCTAACTAAAATTAAACTTTCTCAAGCTTAAGATTCGAATCAAATAGTGGGTTTCAAGGGGTTTTACCTCAAATTAGTTGATGGAGCTTTGTTTCCCTCAGTTTCTCTCATTTACGTTTTTTTTTGTGTGTCTCTCGACCAAACTGCCGAGTGAGAGAGAGAGAGAGAGAAACTCAGAGAGAGCAAGGGAGAGAGAGAGATAGAGGCTGGCGGGAGAGAGAGAGCCCGGAGGAGGTGGCCGGCGGTGGAAAAAGAGAGAGAGAGGGAGGTGGCTGGTGGTGGGGTGGGAGAACCAGAGAAGAAAGAAGAAAAAGAAAAAGAAAGAAAGAGAGAGAGGGGGGCTGGGCTGCATGGGAAGGGAAAAAAAAGAAAAAAGAAAAAAAGAAAAAGGAAAAAGAAAAGGAGAAAAAAAAGGGGAAAAATGAAAATGCATTAAAATTTAAGTGTATTTCCAAAAAAATTTTGGGTGAAATTATAAGTATTGAAAATAATTTAAAGTCCCTTGATTAATTGTGAAAATCAAATTAGGCACACTAATAACTCATAATTTAGCATAATTAACATGTTTAATTCTGGAGGGCGTTATAGAAACACACATGTGAAGGTGTTCCCATGGTATGAATGCACAACACAGTGTGAATTCATAACACCTCCTTAATATAACTCTAAATTACCCAATTAGTCATATTACGTAGTGTTACTTCTTAACCTCCTTTACACTTAACCTAACATCTTACACGTATTAAGAATGAAAATACGGGAAAATTTGAACTTTTAAAACTTCCTGACTAACAAAGATAATCAAAATATATGCAATACACTCTAACTGGCTGGCTAAACATATATACAATATAATACATCTATTAAAAATAGGCTTAGCCTTATACTATGTAAACCCCTATTTTTATGAATATCATTTAAAATAATTATTTAAAATATTATTTCGATTATTTAAATCTTAAAAAATTAGTAAAAATTAGAAAAATTTATATAAGTCACAAAAATTAAGGTTTTTACTCCGTTTTTCATATTCTTCATACGAAAACTTAGCTTAATTCTATTCTTAAGAATTATTATAATTTAAAAAGTTAGAAATAAGTCTGATCATGGGAATTCGAGGTTGAATGGAAGTGTAAGTTATGAATGAGCTCCTGAATACACAATTATTAGTTATTGTTGGTCAGGTAATAATGAGACTTAACACTCAATATTTCAGAGGTGTGGAGCACCACCACCGAGGAAACCTGTCACTAATGAAGACAACATACACAACTTAATACTTAATACACATTATTTACATATTCATGCATCTTAATGACACATCCAACATATAATTCATATGCATATCAATGTAAAATTATGCAATGCATTGGCCAACTAGTATGTGAGAAATTTGGGCATCACAGAATCCCTATGGGATTCAGTTGCTTGCTCTCAAGTTATCCATTTGACTTATTTGATAAGTTGTCTAATTTGAAATTCAAATTGATTTAAGTTTGAGTTAAATTGGAATTTAAATTTGAGTCAAAATTAGATTGCAAGATAAATACATAATTTTATCATATTCTTTACCTGCAGTATGCGCCTACTACAGGGAGGAATCTCCTTGTCATGGCCGACCAACATATGGATAAGGGAGAGTGAATTTTGTTTCAAAATTAAATTAGAAGTGAGAGATAATTATCAAGCTTTATTTTGGAAATAAAGATTAGACTTCTTCTGAAAGTTTGAATACTACTCTATAAATAGGAGATTACAGAAAATTGGAGAACATAGTTTTTACTCTCCTAAGCATAGAGTGGCTGAATTTTAGAGTGTGTGGAAAGAAAAATTTTCTCCCAAATTTCATGTCGTGCATGTATTAGTGTTCGTGAAAAACTTGAGTGTTTATTTGCTAATTCCATTTTTGTTTCAAGTGTGCTCCCACACACACGTCTTTGTAAATTCAAGGAATTGAAGAGAAAGATTCGGGTGTTCTAAACTAGCTTGGAGCAAGGAACGTTCGTGGTCAAATAAATAAAGTTATCGACCTAATCGTTCGTTATGTAAATAAATTAATTTGATTAATTCATTCGTGCATAAATTAATATAATATATTTTATGAATATTTTTTGTTATACACGATCTGCTAGATACATGCTTCCGCATATGAAATCTTTGTGAAACCAACATGGAGTTTGAATCCCTCACACCTAACTTTTAGAGAGAAAAAAGAGTGCATATTAATATTAGTTTAAGGGTACATTTAATCATAGAAAAATAATTAAACAATCTAAATTATACGGTAATAAAACAAAGCATAAATAAAAGAGTTGAAGCTTAAAAAGGAAAGGAAGAAAAAAGAGAAAATCACCTAAAACATTCTTTTTGGACTACCATAATGATAATTTATGAGATAAGAAAAGAATTGAAATTAACTCACCATTTTGGATTACTATGATGAACGTAAAGTATAAAATAATAATAATAAAAAGATTGAAACAAAACATAAACGGAAAAAAGTTAAAATGCTTAAAACTCAATGGACGCGTTTAGAACTCGTTTTAAAATGAATTTATTTTTTGTATGAAAATGAAAATGTTTTCAATCTCATACATAAATCATTTTAAAAAATGTGTTTGATAGTTTTATCAAGAGATTATTTTTAGTATAAAAAAACCAATTAATGTCTCTATCTCTTTCTCTCTGCTCGAGAGAGGAGAAAACGAAAACAAAAAATAAAAAATGACTAAAAGTTATTTTTCATTTTTCTCTCATTTTACACTAAATCAAAAAATCGTTTTCATTTCTCTTTTTTTGTCTTTATTGCACCAAACGCCGTTTTAGAAATATTTTTATTTTTTCTTTATCAAAAAATGTGAAAACAAAAATGAGAGAAATTTCAAACACGGTCAATGTTTTTTACTATTATTATATAATGAACAATAGTTGCACCTACAAAAAACTTTAAAGAATAGTTCACTATTATTATTATATAAGAAGATATAAAGAATTAAAAACTTTAAAGTAGAACATGATAAAAAGGTCTCATAAAATTTTGAACGTATTAGTATTTTGTTTAGTTCATTGATTTGAGTTTTTAATTTGAGTTGAAATATGATTTTATACGAGAATTTTTTACTGTACTAAAAAAGTTAGATATAATCATTTTTAAGAGTTTTTTACTATAATAAAACTCGAATTCTAAACTCAAATCAGTAAAATAAACCGAACAAACTTTATCATCTATGAATCTTTTTTTATTACAATTACAATTAAATTTAATACTAAAAAAACATGCATTGTCGATTCTAATTCTGTTGTGATTCGACGATTAAAAGCGTGTATACTATTTTGTCGTTATCTTTGATTATAATACAATCCAATCAAATCAACATTTGTAATTAACATAAATTCAATTCTAAACATTAATTATACTAAAATTAACGTATTTTTGAAGAAAAATTATATATTGAAATAACTCAATTTAAATCCAATTCTCAAATTTAAATCGTAAAAACCCATTTGAAATTAAATAATCCTAATTTATTTATAAGAATATTAATCTTAATTTATTATAATAATTTGCCAATTTAAAAACTGTGCCTACTTCGATTCTGATTCTGTTGTTTTCCTTGATAGAGGAATAATTCGATTTCCAATCAAAAGCAACGTTTATTTTATTTTTTTTAAGAGAAAATCAACGTTTATTGTGAGCTGTAAAATCTAGAAGACGCCTCTCTCTCTCTCTCTCTCTCTCTCTATAAAAGCCCCTTCATGATTCATTCAACACCACCGTCACTCTCACGAAAAAAAAAAATTCTCTTTTTCCCAAAGCAATTACAAAAGCTAAATATATATATATATATATATATAAAGAAAAAGAAAAGAGAAGAGATATACATAAGAAGACTTCTGGTTCTAGGGTTTCAATAATTGCTTCTCAGACCGTCGCCTTTTGTTTTCCTCTTCTTCTTCTTCTTCTTCTTCTTCCTGTTTCTTCGAAACTAGGGCTTTCCAGTTTCTAAATCCGATCTGTGTTTCGTCCATTGCGAATCTGATTAAAACCAATTAATCTGGAAAACAAAAATTAGCGGTAATTTGTTTTTCTTTTTGTTTGAAGATTTGTTTGTAATGAGAACGAATAGGAAGCGGTCGAGGAAATCGAACGGGGTTTCGTGGGCTCCAGGAGCCGATCTTTGTCAGGTATTATCATCCGAAAATAGATCTTTAAATCGAAGTTTTGGTTGGATTTATTGATGAACAACTCGTTAATAAATTTTAATTTTTCGTTTTGGATTTGAGGAGAAATTCCTGAGATTCAACATCTTTTTTGCCCGGTGATGTCTGTTTGGTTGATGAGAAAATAATTGTTAATTGAGATTTAGCTCCAATACGATTTTATAATAAGCTTAATGTATTTTTTTTTCTTTGACTGAGATTTAGATAGAGAGAACTTGATTAGCGTTTGATAAATAAATAAATTTGGTCACTTATTAATTCAGGCTTTAATATATTCGAATATATTTTTTTTTTCTTTGACTGAGACTGAGATAGAGAGAACTTGATTAGCGTTTGATAAATAAATAAATTTGGTCACTTATTAATTCAGGCTTTAATATATTCGAATAAATAATTATGTCAAACCAAATGAGATTAAACCTTTCTGGAACGGCGATTATCATCTAAAGAATTACTGGGCGGCTCCTAATATGAAAGTCAGCTTTATGGAGGACCATTTAAGTGTATTGTAATTGAAAATTATGTGTATAAAACAATATAAGTTTTAAGTCAACAATAGAAAGCCCCATATTTCACAAAATCTCCTGAACCTTCACTTGGTCTAATGTTTGGATCAATGCAATAACTAATTTAATCACACAAAAAAACTCGATTCAATTTCTATAAAATCATTCAATGGTTTGAAAAAAGAGATTGGCAGTTGTGGGGGTGAAAACCATCACGCCTTTGCAAGCCTTTTTTTTTTTTTTTTGTGTTAATTTGGTTAGGCGGGGCTATAATTTTACAACAGAACCGACTAAAATTGGACAAAAAGAAAAAGGAGAAGATAATAATAAAAAGGAACGAAAGCAATATATAGCAAAAGGGTATCCATCGTCGTATAAATTGGGAATGTGTTGCAAATTTAATTGATCAGACGTGGTTTATGTAAGAGACTGTTGAAGAATGAAGATAATAACGAAGAAAGTTCAGTTGATTAATGATGCTCTGAAAGATAATTGCAAGAACGAAAATTTGTTTGGTGCTTTGATGATCGCTTATTTGCTCATATGATGTAAAAGAACTCTGTTGTTTGCAAAAAAAAAAAAAAAAAAAGGTTTAATGAGGTGCTATGAGAAAATAAGATTATCCACAAATTATTCGGAGACTCTCTTTTGATATCTAAAGCTTTAATGAAGAATTGTATACAACAATATGATTCATATTTTAGGATCTTTCTCGTTCAAATTTTTATTGATTCTTTCAACTGTGGTGGGACTTTTTTGTTTCCTTTTTTGGATGAATTATGATAATTTCCTGCATTGGATGCAATAAGCATGATGAATTGGACGTGAAATCTGATATAGATATACTAGGAACTGGATATCATTTATTTAAGATAGCAAATTTCTTTCCCTTGATCTGTGTTCATTGATTCAGTTCTCTCGAATCTTTAGAGTGAACTTGTCATCATTGATCTTTGTATTGATAATTTTTGTGTGGCTAACTTTAATTAGGTGAGGCTGTTTTCCGCCGAAGATTGTCCTGCAAAAGTTGGCCTGAAATGTCAAGATGATCTTCAAGCAAAGACATCCGGGGTTCTGCCTTCGGACCCTACAGGTTATAATGAACTGCCCCCGGGGTTTGAACGCGGGTTAGCTGTGAACAAATCGGGATTGGAACCTTCTTACGTCCCGCAGGTTCAATGGAAATGCCCTCCAAAGGTAAGCTGATGGACTTTTGTTAAATATTCACCATGAAGACCTATCAACATAACTTCCATTATTAAATCACATCTGGGGCTTTAATCAAAATGCTTGCTGTTACCTTTGTCTCGACAGTTTGTTCTGAGCCAAACTTGGCTAGTCGCTGCTGGCGAGGAAAGCGAGGAGGTCAAACATCAAAAGCTGAGGGAGATGCGAGTGCTGGAAGCAGTTTATCCCCGGTCTTCTGCCATTCCTCATAGGTAAAATTTTTCTATCTAGTTTCTCGCAGGATTACATCATTTGTAGTTTCTGCATCATCATATTACTGACAGTTATTTATCTTTCTTTTCCTATAGCTCTTATGTTTCTCTGGAGTCAGAAAATGAATACTATGACAATAGCAGAACTCCAATTGTCCCGATAACTCCAATTGAAGACGAAGAACCTGCAGATACAGTTACACCATCTGATGTTGCACCATCAGTTAACACCACTACCATAAGCTCTCCACCACCATCATCCTTGTCCCAAGTTTCATTGCCATCGGAATCTCACCCTTCTAAATGCAATTCGTCTTTCCTACAATCCCTTGGCACTTCACAACCGCCATTAGAAAAACTACCCGACCGAGGTGCTGATGTACTTGCTGCTACTTCTGCCGCCTTGGCTACAATCATGAAGAGCAGCGAGAAGGGAAGCTTGATTGACACAGATTTGCTCATTAAGATATTTAGCGACCCGAAAATGATCGGGAGATTGATGAATAATGGACAACCAACAAGTGCACCAAGTGTATCAACCAAAACTACAGTAAGTGCCTCCATATCAGATTCAAGGACGGTAAGTCCATCAGTTCCCCTGCCTTCACCTGCACTCGATTTACAGAGGCCTGTAGATGAGAATTCATTCCATCCAAACGGCTTAAGAACAACCGTAAATACAACCCGTCGCCAACAAGATGCCCCTCAAGTATCTAGGTTTCAGCAAGTAGTGACACCGCCCGTTTCCATGTCGACCCCCGAGCCCTTCGTTAGTTTGCCTAGGCTGCCGGATGGAAACTTGTTTAGCGTACCAAATCGGGTGAGATACTTGGTAAATGCAGCGAGTGTTCAACCGAACACCGCTTTTGCAGTGCAAGAACGCGCACCACCGGTGAAGGATGTGAACTACTATAAGAATCTCATTAGACAACACGGAGGAGAACATGAAGAAAATAAGGATTGCGTCCTTACACAAAACGGGAAAAATTATTTTCACCTTGGTGTTCAAAACTTTAAACTGGGACAAGAGAAACCGAAGAACTCAAAACCCTGCGCGTACTTTAAAACCTCAAAGGGGTGCCGAAATGGCGCCAATTGCCCATACCAGCATGACGTTTCACTACCTTGGCAATCTGGCAAAGTAATGGAGAGCTATAGAGCAAAGAGAATGAAACTAAATGGGGAAATTAATGGGGTGATGTTAGTTTAAGAATCACTAAGGTGGTTTATTTTAAGAATCACTAAGGTGGTAGGTTTTAATGGAAAAGTAACTAAAAGATTCGACCTCTTTTTTTTAGATTTTGTGAAAAAGAGTTTTGGTTTGTAAATAATGACCTTTAAAAGAGAAGTTTGACGAAATTTTTTCATTAGTTATTTTGTGATCTTTTCTTAGCAATCTTACATTGGTGGTTTTCCTCGTCACGCGTAGGCTGGTAAACAAGTAAGGTGTGGCGGCCAAATAAAGTGGGACTATTATAATATGGTTGACGACAACTTGACAATGAAGACCAATCACTAATTTAAATCCAAGAAACTGAATGCCTATAAAAAAAATCCAAGAAACAAAACAGTAAAACAAAGGTACAAGGCAATTTATTAAAATAAATTTATTATATTATAAAATATTTTATGTTTTCTTTATTACAATTTGCACGCTTGAAGTATTGAAGATGAAATTTTGTATACTTCTACATCGATCTAACTTATAGCACAGTCAGATACAAAACTAATAAAAGTCAAAATCCGAAAAGAAAACGTCAAATATGTTGAAAATAAAGCATGTTGCCAAGACATGACGTGGAAAAAGGAAGACAACAATTTTAAATGAGGACATGTCTACAATGTCTTACTTGCGAATCTATTGGCTCGCATTAAATCTCAAGAGAGTCTATGTGTTGCCTTCCGCATCTAATAATAACCCAAATACGATCAACAAAATTACAAAACAATCCCTATTTTTGTCAAAATTTAACTTCTCACCCCATATGTTAAATTATATCGAAGATATCCTTATGTTACAATTTTATTAGAAAACGAATCTTACACCTTTTAGGAAAAAAAGTTTCACCTTACAACAAATGGATATGAGAAAAATCTTCTTTGTGCAAATGACAACAATAATTATAATCACAAAATTAAGCTTATTTTTTATCTGAAAATTAAACTTGTTTCATCATTAATTAGAAAAGTCTAATTACAATAAACAACAAACTAATTATACACATTAATTTGAAAAAAAGTAGTCAATTGCACATTAATTTCACAAATATGACCTTTAAACAGTTAATTTCTAAAATAACATAATTTCACCCAAAACCAAACACCATTACCGATATCTAATCAAACTAATTACAAACAAACCTAAGAAAATCAAACTAATTCTCCCAAAGATCAAACCAATAACACAAATTTCACAAAAATTTTTCCCTAAAAAATAAACTTCATCAGTACACAAATTAATTTTCAAACACAAATTAATTTCACAATACAAAAACAATATTTCCTATGCAAAACTCAGATCCCGGCGAGCTACCCAGATTCCGGTGAGATAACCAAGAATAAAAAAATTAAAAAAATTGCAAGACGAGCCAAAACCTAGATTTCGGCGAGCTACCCAGATTCCGGCGAGGTAATCGAGAGTAAAAAATAAAAATTGCAAAAAAATCCAAACAATTCAAAAAACTGATGTTATTCAAAATTATTACAACAATCCATAGAAATTTCACATAACTAATTAGACAAAAATCCAAAAACAAAAAAATACAGGGCCTATTTATTACCGTTTCTATTTTCATTTTTCACGTTTTTCGAAGCAAAAAATTGAAAACAGGAATGAAAAACGCTTTTGGCGAAGTTTGTGTTAGAAAACAAAAACAAAAATGTTTTTGTCGTTTTGTGGAATTCTGAAAACGAAAAAAATTCGTTTTCATTTTTGTTTTCTCTCTTTCTTCAGCCTCGATCCGTCCTCCGGTTCTCTCTTCTTCGATTTTTTCTTCCGTTCTTCAGCCGAGCACTTCTTCCCTTCCCTTCTTCAGCCGAGCTCTTCTTCCCGGCCGAGCCCCGGCGTTCTTCTAGCCCAAGAGTCAAAGACTTGCGCCGTTTGCTTCTCACCCGAGCTCCTCCGTTCGCCTGAGCTCCTCCGGTCTCTTGTTACCCGATCTGCGCCGTTCTCATCTCGCCGTTTTCTCACCGAGGAATGCCCCTAGCCAAAAATGTTTGATGGTGTTTGATTTTCCGATCGATTTGGTTGAGCAATTTTTGATTTTTTTTTCCGTTTTGGTCTCGTCGTTTGATTTGCTATATTCAACCAAATCGGTTACTAGTTTTCTGTTTGATTTGGTGTTGTTTTGTTTCTAATTTTCCTATGCTTGATCTGATTTGGTCTTTTTTCTGTTTTTTTCACCTGGAGGCCCCCGTTGGGGCTGATACAGCCCCTAGGGGCCTCCCATTGGGGCTGTATTAACCCTGGGAGGCCCCTCCGTTGGGGCTGAATCAGCCCCTGGGGGCCTCCCATTAGGATTGGCCTAGGAGGCCCCCAATGGGGGCTGATTATAAGCTCATGGCTGATAAATCAGCCCCCATCCGCCCCAATGGGGGCTGATTATCAGCCCTGATGGGGGCTGATAAATCAGCCCCCATCAACCCCATTGGGGGCTGATTATCAGCCCTGATGGGGGCCATCAACCCCTTTGGGGGCTGATTATAAGCCCTGATGGGGGCTGATAATCAGCCCCCATCAGCCCCAATGGGGGCTGATAATCAACCCTGATGAGGGCTGGAAATTAGCTCCCCATCAACCCCAATGGGGGCTGATTTTTAACCCTGATGGGGGCTGATAATCAGCCCCCATCCGCCCCAATGGGGGCTGATTGTCAGCCCTAATGGGGGCTGATTATCAGCCCTGATGGAGGCTGATAATCAGCCCCCATCCGCCCCAATAGGGGGCTGATAAATCAGCCCCCATCAACCCCATTGGGGGCTGATTATCAGCCCTGATGGGGGCTGATTGGCTGATTATCAGCCCCAATGGGGGCTGATTTTTAGCCCTGATGGGGGCTGATAATCAGCCCCCATCCGCCCCAATGGGGGCTAATTGTCAGCCCTAATAGGGGCTGATTATCAGCCTTGATGGGGGCTGATAATCAGCCCCCATCCGCCCCAATGGGGGCTGATTATAGCCCTGATGGAGGCTGATAAATCAGCCCCCATCAACCCCATTGGGGGTTGATTATAAGCCCTGATGGGGGCTGATAATCAGCCCTGATGGGGGCTAAAAATCAGCCCCCCATCAGCCCCAATAGGGGCTGATTATCAGCCCCTATCAACCCCAATGGGGGCTGATTATCAGCCTCAATTGGGCTAAAAATCAGCCCCCATCAACCCCAATGGGGGCTGATTATCAGCCCCCATCCGCCCCAGTGGGGGCTGATTATCAGGCCCAATGGGGGCTGAAAATTAGCCCCCATCAGCCCCAGTGGGGGCTGATTATCAGCCCCCATCAGACCCTGCATGTGTGTGTGTCTGTGTGTGTTTATATACTTTATAAATTGACATTTATTTTAATGATGAAAGTGTTATTTTAGATGTGTGATAAGGACGATAATACGAAATGGCCGGCCGCAATTGAGGATTTTTATGTAGAATTGATATATGAAGAGTCAAAGACTGGGATGCAAACATCCACTATGGGCAAAAAAACGTGGATGAAAGTTGCTAATTAAATAACACTTAGTATGGTAAGCATTTCACATCAGACCAGCTTAAAGCAAAGTGGAATAGGCTTAGACGTAGCACGAGAGAGTTTAAGGCATTAATTAAAACAACAGGGTTTGGTTGGGATTCTGAGGCTAACACTGTCACAGCTGGAAAAAAAGTATGGGATTCATATGTGGCGGTAAGTTTTGAGTATTAACATCTTATGTTATATGAAAGAGTTGAATTGGTGTTTGGATTGCACATGAGTATTTACTTTTATTTTCTTTATAATGTCAAAAACATCCTGAGGCTAAGAAATTCAAGAAAGGGGGTTTGCAGAACTTTGCCCAACTTTCACAGATTTTTTTGGGGACTATTGCTACTGGACAGGGGTCAATGAATGTACATACTGTCGTTAATGTTTTGAATGCGGCGAAAAGGGCGGCCACACAACTGAAAGAGGTGGATAAGGGTACAGGGGACTCGGATGAAGTCCGGGGTACAGAAGACAATAGAAACAGATGGTCTCAGGATCCTACTACTCGATCTAAGAAGAAGGGCAAGAACAAAAGTGCAGTTGACGCGGCTATAGAGGCTTTGGCAAAGAGTGCTACCCTACGTAGTGAGACATCTATTCAAAATGTTGATTTGTTTCAGTAATATTTAGCTGATAGGCAAGCCCGTACTATGGCATTAGCCGAGGCTCAGAAAGAGGATCCAACTACAAGTATTGAAACCTGTATGGATTTGCTGAATGGGGATGGGGAGTATTTAGACGACAATGCGTATACTAAGGCAGCGCACCAGTTGGCGGTTGAAATTTCCCTTAGGAGGATGTTTGTGAAAATGCCCACTTGTCGCCATCTTTCATGGATTCGAAGCCTGTAGTTTAAATGATTATTGTGTTGTTTTCTTTCTTTGTTTCCTCTCAGACGTATGTTTTTTTTTAAGTATTGTTGAGCATGTACAACAGATTTTCCTACTGGACTTGTGTTTGTTAGACTTTGTTATTTGTTTTTAGTCGGATTGAATTACATTGGAGTTCTTCGTTTGATTAGTCAATGTTATATGGATGTTTGATTAGTTCCAGTCTTGGTTCATTTTTTAGGTTAATATGGATTCAGATAGTGAGAATGATGCCAGAGCTGTTGACTTTCTCCAGTCATCAGATGATGATGAACAACCACAACATTATATCCAATTATTGATGTCGATTGGAAACAAACGAACTAGGCAACCTCGTCGTAATTATGCGTTAACAGGATGAGAATATGTTTTAGATCAATTACATGGACATCCCAAAAATTTGTTTGAAATGCGTCGTATGCATCGAGACACGTTCAAAGCAATTGTTCAGTTAATTCGATGCCGCAATCTACTGCCTTCTTCAAGTATTTCAGCAGAAGAATCTCTAATGATGTTCTTAAGAACGGTTGCTCACTTAGATCGCAATAGAGAGATACAAGATAAATTTTGTCATTCTGGAGAGATAGTACACCGGCATTTTGATAATATGCTTACCGCATTGTCTGCGTTAGCACCTCAAGTTATAAAAACTACCAACTATGAACATTATCCCCCCAGAGATTCAACACAACCCTAAGTATTGGTCATGGTTTAAGGTACAATCTGACTCTGCTCATATACTACTAATATGACAAATAATTTTAAATTAATCGTAACTCACGCCTTATGTATTTTAATAGGATTGTATTGGTGCAATAGACGGTACACACATGATGGTTGTCCTACCTGCACATCAACAGACAGTCTATAGAGGAAGAAGACATTCGTGCACTCAAAATGTAATGGCGGCGTGTAGTTTTGATATGCTATTCACTTATGTCAATACCGGATGGGAAGGATCAACTGCTAATTACAGAGTGTTAACTGAGACTATGAGAGATCCAGATGACCCATTCTTGGGGCCACCCCCTCACCCAAATATTACGTTGTGGATTCCGGTTACAGCAACACACAATGCTTTTTGGCACCATTTCGTGGTCAGAGGTACCATATTCAATAGTTTAGAAATGGTAGTCAACCAACGGGACCACAAGAGTTATTCAATTATTATCACTCTTCACTGCGTAATTGCATAGAGAGATGCTTTGGGGTCTTGAAAGCAAGGTTTAAAATTCTTAGGCATATGACCAATTATTGGATGCCAAGATAAATTGTTATACGAATAGCTTGTTGTGTGATCCACAATTTAATTAAGATGCACGCGCGAGATGATCCTCTATTTAGACAATATGAGGTCGATTTGCCCGTAGAAGATATTGAGGGAGAACAAGAAGGGCAACAGGAACAACAACATGGTATGGATGCACAAGAAGCAGAAACATCTGAAAAGGATGGTCGGCAACAACGTAATTACATGGTTAATTTTAGGGATCATCTAGCTAATCAAATGTGGGATTCGTATAGGCGACAATAATTTAAGCTAATATTATAATTTTCATATTTTATTAATTATTAGTGTTTTTATTTGTGGTTCAATTATTATTTATTTAATATATTAAATACTATTACATGTTTTCAAAAATGAAACCACCAAACGCAGTTTCAGTTTTTTTTAAAACTGAAATCAATCTCTAAATAAAACTACCAAACGCATTTTCAGAAATAATTCAAAAATGAAAATGAAAATGTTTTCATTTCCATTTTCGTACAGAAAACAAAAACGTTTTGGAATCAATTCCAAACGCACCCACAAATTTCATCTTCATTAACATAACTGATTAGACAAAAATACAAAAATTTCACATAACTGATTAGACAAAAATCCACCACTCTAAACTCCGGTGGACGGAGAGGGCCAAGATCAAAAGCTTATTGGATTTTGATGGTTGAGATGTATTTAGATAGAAACTGCTATTTTAGAAAATATATGGGTGAAATTATGATTGTCAAATTGAAAATAAGAGGGCAATCAAATGTAGTTGTGTTTATTTTAATTTTTATGAGCAACACCATCTTGAATCGTTAACTTTTCAACTAATGGTCTAAATTTTGTATCCTACCGGTAGGGAAAAATTAAGTCACCCCACCATAGATATTTCTTTTTAATAAAAGACAGCTATCGTTAAGGTGGTCAATAATAAAAAGATAATTATTAAAAGTAAAGCCATCTTCTATTGTTAACAATTTTAAAATCAATATTGGTTGAAAATTGTTGCATCACAATCTTATTACCAAAAACATAAAATAAAATCTTTCTCAATGTACTAACAGTCAACTAACGACCATAATTCATGGATTAGAATCATATATTAGAATTATTTTCAATTTACGTGTATTTTTATGATAAAAAATACTATAACGAACTATGAACTATTATTCAAATCGGAGTACGAATCCCCCAACCAAACAACTCCTAAATTGTTTTGAGATAGAGCTGTAAATTTTATTCAGGTCAAACGAGTTGGTCAAGAGCTCGGCATTTTAATCCGGTCCTGGCCCGTTTAAAAGCCCAACACAAGCCTCCAAGCTGGGCCAGGCCTAATGAATAGGCCCAAAATGTATCCCGATTATCTTTTCCTTTTCATTTATTTTTTATGTTCTCTGTAAAAAAATGGTCCAACCTGCCTCATGCGAGTTTTGGGACCGGTTTGTGCCAGACATAATTTAATGTGGCCTGACCCAGTCCACTTTTACCATTGGGCCACTTGACCACGTGGCCTAATCTTGTGCTTCTACTTTAATAATTAGAGAAAATTAGAGAATTTATCCTTAAAATTGCACGAATTTAGACTTTTATTTTTTACTCTTAATAAATACATTTTTATTAGTGTAATTTTTTGACTAAAAAAATTATAAATTAAAAGTAAAGAGTAAAAATCTTAATCCATTCAAAGTGTATTTATCAAGATTACCCTTAAAATTATTGTCATATCAAGTGGTAAGCTAATTGGAATATATATACATTTTTAATCTCAACGACAAAATAATCACGACCACATATTTTTGAAAGTCATAACTAACATTGAGAATATTTAAGTCGGGAACTTCTATGGTAGGATATGGAGGCCCTATGCCCTTTTTAATGATTTATAGAAACTGGTGTTTTAAAAGTATTAATTTAAAGATCAATTTATTAATTGTGAGTCATTAAAGCCGATGAATCTTTGTGACCCAAAAAACTTACTAAAAATTAGAAAATTATAGAGAAATCAAGAATAAAAAATTAGGAGAGGCAAGGCAACCAAATGCACAAAGTAACTAAAAGTAAGAACATCTTTTTCAGAAGGGAGAGATAACTTGGTATATAGGCTTAAATAGAAATAACATATCTTTTCAGTGACGGCATAAGATCCATGACTGCTCGTTGCTCATTGAAGTGGTTCAACAGAGGGCTCGAGGCTACGGTGGGAAAACCTCAATTATCATTAAATTATGGGGTGAGGATGGTATTACATGTGCGATGTGCCTTCCCAAAACCGCGCCCATTACATACAATACATCTAAAATCTAAAATACTTGTATAAATATTAAAATGATAATTTTTTTGAAACTAGTTTATGACCGTTATATATGATCAAAATCACATCATATTAAAAATATATAAAGAACAAATAATTTTTGAACACAAAAAAAAAAAAAAAAAAGAACGAAGTAGTTTAATAGAACGAAGAAGGGTGGTGCCCCATTACTCCGTTAGTGAACCCCGAACCCCACACCGCCTTTGCCTTGGACATTTTCTGGAACGCGGATGATTCCGACTACCATTGGTTGGGATCGGCCATCGGGAATGATATTTGAAAAACGGGTTCATTCCCACCACGTTTACATTCCTATATTAGAACACATAAAAAGCCTTCTGTATGCTAAAATAAAGGAAAAATATTTTCCATGATCAAATGTTGTCACTACTGAGCTTGTTAACGTGCAATATAAGCTATTAATAGTTCATATTTCTAAAAGCTGAATCGGGGTTTATTCAACAAATAAAAAAGAGAACAAAAATAAAGAAAAGGTCATGATTTATCAGAGTCAAATGACACGAAAACATGTTTCTGAGAGATTAAAAAACCAAAAGTTCTTCTCATTGGCACTCAACCATCCCAAACAAAAACAATAGCAATATAGTATTCAAGAAATCAATTGTCATCAGAATCAGTATTTTGATCCACTTTTTTTGGTACCACATAAAAACCAACAAGTCAAGACCACTTGAGAAAAAAGAAGTGTCGTAGGCATTGTCCACCAGCAGTTATAGATCTTGCGCATTTAAGAATATCCTGAACTTGGTTCCCATCTAAAGAGTCAAGCAGTTCTCATAATGATGTGGACCCCACTATCAGTATCCACAATGTCACTTATCTCACCAACCTTAAGAGCATATGTTGCCTCTTCGAAAGGCTTCTGCATCTGGCCACGGCCAAAAGGACCTGCATCAAGAATTGGTACATGGGTATATTAAACCAATATTATGAGCAGAGCCTGATGTAAATCCAAGAAGATGATAATGAATTACGACTTGAGAGTTCTTTGACATGATTCATGTGATTAACAGGAATACATCAAATTTTTTAAAGCAAAAGTTACTTTAGGAAAGGTACAACTCAGTTTCTACGATTTAGTATATCGAAGCACTAGAGATATTCACTCCAAAGCCAGGAATTCTGCATATGGACCGTAACGTATTCACTAAAGAAGTTTGAAAATGAGTATAAAAGCTCACAGGAATTTGCAGAGACAGGTTTTTTTTTTTTTTTTTTCATTTGAACGTATAAAATTTACCAAGAACATTGAAACAGCCTGATGTAAAAGAAACCAAATATGCAAATTGCAAAGGTCTACGGTATGGTATACAATTAACTCTTCGGGCAGCTAACAAAAATTAGTAACTTCTAAATATCAAATTGCTCTCCCTTTCCTTAATGATATAAAACTAACATTGAAACATCTTGAGGTAACAGAAACCAAATATGCAAAGCTCTATGGTGTGGTATAGAATTAACTCTTCCAGCAGCTGACAAAATGTGGATAACTTCTAAGTTTTGAGTTGCTCTCCTTTCTTTAATGATATAAAACTTCCATAGTTTCTCTCCCACACACTTGCTGTTAATCCATGGCAGGTTTTACTAATACAGTTCAGCATAACTAACTTTGAGTGCCCCCAACCCATCTACTTTAAATTTAAGGTTTGTAAGATTTTTCAAGTTGTTTCCAAGTTTCTGTCAGAACACCATATCAAAAACCAAGTCGGTCTGAAAAGATGGTCCTCTTATGACGTATCAGCTATAAAAATCAATTAAAACATTGGTTCGATGCATTTTGAACCTTTCCCATTAGAAACACAGCAAACATATAGGGGATGCGAGAGTAATGTACATATAGAGGGATTGACTTACTATCATAGTTAAAAGAATTTCTTTTTAAGCTAAGAGATTCACAAGAAGGACTTAACGGGATACAATCAAAGATTTTTATAAAGGTTTCAACTTAATCGAAACACCTTTAATTTTAGCCACCTATTTCCCGTCACGAAAGATCCAATCAAAGACCTTAATTTTCCCATTTCTCATCTAGCCCTAAAATTTTCTAATAAATCATCTTTATAAATCACGAAACAACAATAGGTCTGATCTTTCTTCCCATGCCTCAAAAGCTATAATTTTTAGGAACGAAAAACAAATCGTAAATTAAGAAACACCAAATTGAACATGAAACTACTTTCTACACTTTCTCGGCAAACAAACAGATAAGCCAAGGAAATGATGAAGCCAAAAAGAAAAGATTTCCTCCCACTACAATCAGCAATCCTTATATCGCATTTCTCATGCATCAAAGCTAGGTTTTGAATTTTTATAAACGGAAACTAAATTGGAAACCAAGAAACACCAAATTGAACAGGAAATTACATATCAAGGAAATGACAAAGCCAAAAGGAAAATATTGTCTCCTAGCGGCAATCCTCATATCGCATTTCTCATGCCTTAGGGTTTTAAGTTTTTAGGAACGGAAAATAAATTGGACATAAAGAAACACCGAATTGAACAGGAAATCACTTTCTACACCTTTCTGGACAAACAAACAAACAAACAAAGAAATCGAGAAAACGAGAAAGCCAAAAAAAGAAAAGAAAGAAAATTCAGTCAGTCAGTTTCGTTACCAAGATCGCCGCCGCGCTTAGCGGAGCTGCAATCGGAGTAGCGGGAGGCGACGGCGTCGAACTTGGCCTTGCCGGAGACAATATCATCGCGGAGGGACTTGAGCTGGGAGACGGCGGCGTCGCGAGTGGTGTTGGAGATGACGCGGCCTTCGGGATCCTTCCACGAGGCCTTCCTCCTGGAGCCCTGGTGCTTGATGAGTATGTGAGAAGCCCTAACCTGGTTGTTTCCCGACGACGACGACGACATCTTCGTCTTCTTCTTCGCCGATGAGGAAGAGCCTCTCTCCTTGCTCTTCGTCCGATCTGCGGCGGAGATCGACGGTGGTGGCTTCTTCCGCTTCCGATCGGATGACTCTATCTTCGCAGCTCCGAAGAGAGAGATGTGAGTGATTTGTCAGAGAGAGGATTTTGGTTCGTGGGAGGTTGGGTATTTCTAGAGGGTTTTTTCAGCCAGTAGCCCCACGGAACGCCTTTGCACATATAAATCCTTCTAACAAAATGAGCCTTTTTAACAAAATGCCCCATAAAATTTAAAAATAACAAATTGTTCCGTGAATAATTCACCGTTAGTATCCGTCTCTCTTTTCTACCTCATTAATTAAATTTTAAACGTTTAGTGATATGTGAAAGTTATTGAGCCATTTAATTTTTATTATAATATAAAATGATGATTTTACCCTTACGATTATCCCTTTCTTAGGTTTCCTTTTTATTTCATGGCCATTTCTGAATTTTGCCGTAATTCCCATTTCTCATCCCCTTCTCGGCCCTCTCTGATTTTGCCCAAATTCGACGGGAAAAGTAACAACCCTGGGTCACTCTATCTTGCCTGAGTTCATGAATGGCGGCCAACAGTAGTACCAGAGGACGGAAGGGTTGGCACAGCTCTGTAAGTATTGGGCCGAAATGTAGACGATGTGAATGAGAAATTAATGAGGCGGTTGAGACTAGAGTGCAGCCAAGATATTATTGTAAGTTAGATTGTGTTGTGAAGACGGCAAGGACCCGATAAAATCTGGGAAGACGGTTTTGGGGATGTTGCTTATACAAGGTTAGTGTATAATTTAATATAAAATGTTTTAAGTTTGTGGATTTCATGAATTGGTATGAGTTACCTTTCTTTAATTTTGGGTTTTGTTTACACTGCTTTCATATATCACTAGAATGAATGTAATGGGGTTGCGGATTTATAAGGTGAGTTGATCTTAGTATGAATGAAATTCTGCCAAGATTGCTAAAGAAGTTCGACCGAACAGATGAAGATGTTTCATGGTTGGAGGGTGAAGTTGAAAGCTTATAAGCGACAATTTGTGAGAAAGATGATGAAATTCGAAGAATGCAAGCTGAAATTGAAATGCTCAAAATGCAAAAATGTTTGATCTTGTATTTTGTTGTGTTTTAATTGTTGTCATATTGATGTTGAAGTGAAGAAATGATAAGTTGTATTATTGAAGGTCTGTTTTGGAAGGCTGTGAAAGTGTTAACAATTTGCACCTTATGATAAACTTGAATCTGTATAATTGAAGTGGAACAATTCAACATGGTCAAATATTTCGGTTCCTAATATGGATATCCAATTTGCACCTTACGGTAAACTGGTCATAATGATAGTGAAAACTATAAAATAACCTCTTCTGTTAACCTGCTCAAAGTTTTAGCAAATTGGACTTTCACATTAACTTCAAAACGATAACCTCCTCAAAATGAGAACTTGCTCAAAAGTCCTGGTCAAATATCATGACAGTGGTCACATGCATCACATATACACGTAGACAATTGTTCGTCAATAGATTAGTTGTCTGCAAAACACATGTACACCACATTGTCAGCAGTGGGTGATATATAAACAAAAAATACACCACAAAAAATATGGGAATTTGGCTCGATGGAATTAAAGTCTCGTTCATTTCACCGATTTGAGTTTTCAGTTTTAGGTTTTAACAGTAAAAAGTTCTCAGAAAATGTCACATTTAACTTTTTCTATTACAGTGAAAAGCTCTTAAAAAATGTCATATCTCAGCTCGAATTGAAAATTTAAATCCACAAAGTGAACGAGATATAAAGGAGTCTCCTAGCTGTTTTCTTGATCCGGGGGCTTGACCTAGTAGGTTGAACCTCTGTCGTTGTTGTCTTATTAAGGCGTGAAGAAGATCTTATTGGTGTAACCTTTTTCCTAGCAGTCGTCTTGAAAAGTCTCCAAGTCTTTGTATTCATGATAAGAGAAAGAGAAAAAAGATTTAGTCATATAAGTACAACAATAAGGTTCATAGTTGTTAGTTGCAGTGTCACATTAAGATAACAAATGTTGTCTTACCGGAGTTTGTTGGGTTGACATTGGTTGGCTTGAATGACTTGATATTGTGGTGGGATCTATATTGGCCTTGGGTGGTGGGACATTGGTGGGATCTACTTTGGCATTGGGTGGTGGGACATTCCTTCGGGCATTCTTTTTTGCAGCCTGTAATGAACAAGTAGAAGTGGATTAATAAAATGTTTTTAAGTAAATTTAATATACAACTAAAATGTTTAAGTAAATTTATAATACCTTCTAAGCAGCTTCTTGCAATTTAATACAGTTAGGCCCTTTGCATTACGCTCTTATCCTATCTGGATTATTTTTTCTTCAACATCCTCTTCCTCTTCAGTGTTATCACCCATTGAGAACATTTCACGACCTTCATCCTCTCATTGTCAGAATCTTCAATCATAACCCCACCATCATCTTCAACAACTTGGCCCTTGCCTCTCTTGTCATTCTTTTTAAAAACCTTCCCAACATTCTCAGGAACCACAATGTCATCCTCTGATTGCTCATAGTCACTATCGCAAATTGTAGGATCATAAGGCATCTCATCCTCCGAGGAATCACTGCCATCTTCTTCTACTTCTTCATTATCAACTACAGCTTTGCCTTTATAAGGATCCCTATTTAATCCATCTTCATCTGAAGCCTCATTTTCAACACCTCCCCCAACTGAAGCTTTACTCTCTAACACAAGCACCTTATCAGAGAGATCACAATACACATGTACTGTCCTTGAATGCTTCAGACACATATTGAAGAAACTTAATGGGGTTGTTCTTTTATCTAAAAAACTCAAAAAAAAGACAATTCGAGTTCCAACTTTATTCAAGTTTATATTCTTTTAAGTTTTAATTTTATTCAACTTTACTCAATTTTATTCAAATTACAACTTCAATTCAAGTTATAACTCAAATTCAACTCAAAAAATACACTCAATTACACTCCAAAAAAATAACCCCTTAGCATCTTACTATATGTTTCAAAATGCTGCAAACCATTCATTCCAGGTACACTGACATAGTATATACCCCATGTCGCATAGCCTAACTCCTTGACAACAATAACATCAACATACAAAAGTGATAACTCATCAAGATCCAAAACAACAACATGATTTGATCCCCCATTATATTCAGCCTTTCCATCTATCGTAATAATTTCACCACCATGCCACAACTTCAACGTAAATATTGTATCTGAAAAAAAGAAAAAAACACTTTTAAGTTTCTTATTAGTGTTTTTAACAGATTTAATAATTAAAAAAAGAGCTTTTAAACCTTTTCTTAAAAAATTGCTACGCTTTTGAACATTTTCTTAAAGAATTGCTACCACTACCCCACATATTGTTGCATCGAACCCCACAAACACAATATACACGAAACACAACAGACAATAAATGGTGATCCCTATAATCTTTTACCGTCATTCAGAGATCAAAAAAGAATCTAACGTAATAGAATATTCTCAATATTCAACCATTCAAACGTTTCAAGATGAAATTACTAAAAGCCATATACAAATTGTCCAAAACAAAAACAAAATTGTTAGCAAATTTCATAGTTAGGGTTCATGAAATCTTACCTTCAGCCATTGATAATTCGACTTCTTCGCATCGACTCAAACCCTTCATTTTTCAGTGATTTCTTCACTGATTAGTTTGAAGGAATTCAAGGCCTTCACTTCAAAGGGGAAGATCGAGAACGATGTGAGGATTTTGGGTGTGTGGGATGGGTTCAAAGAGGGGGTGTTGGGTGTGAAATTACTCTCGAAATTTTTTGCCCTATTTCGAACATTTCAGGATTTTACCTAAATTATTTGTTTCCCTTGAAATGAGAGTCACATGCCACTCACGTGTCACTTAACGTTCAAAATTTAACCGAGGGGGCGGAAAAGGAGAACGCGTGCTAACGGCGAATTGTTCAAGAGAAAAATTTGTTATTTTTAAACTTTAAGGGGCATTTTGTTAAAAGGCTCAAAGTTCAGGAGAGACCTTTTTATTTTCTTTTCCATTTATTTTCAGGTTTAAATTTTTTTTTTTTAAAACCCAACAATTAATATATCAGAAATACTAAAAAACAAAAAGCCCTAACTTGTTTTGTTTCCCTCCCGTGGATGTCTCCTCCTTCCTCAAAATTTTGCCCGCCCAAAACCTAAGCTCCAGCCACCCAAAACCTCGACGGCGCCCCGCCTCTGATCAACAGCATTCGCTCACCCTCACCTCCGATCGACGCCACTCGTCTACACCACCACCTCCGATTTCGGCCGCCACCGGACCGCCCTTTTCCCTTTCGGATCGTTGCTCTGTTTTTCTTTCGGAACTCCGATCGCCGTCGCTCCCACAGCCGCACCTCCGTTAGAAGCCGCTCCTCCACCTCACCACCTCCGATTTACGCTGAACTACTGGACCGACCTTTTCCCTTCCGAACCGTCGCTCCTTTCCTCCGTCCGGACTGCCGCATTTCCTTTTTGTGATTGCAATGGCACTTACGGAAACGTCAGAGTCGGAAAAGGACTTCGAAGGAATAAGCAGGACGCCACCCCAACAGGTTGACGACAACAATCCGCCACCCAAGACACCACCACAACCGAGACCACCACTCCAAGCACGGCGGAGACACTACAAACACGGGCCTTGGAACCATCGGTAAATTTTCTTCTCTTTAACTCCATTTGAATTAAATTTAGTTAGTTTATCAACATATATGTTAGCAAAAATTTTCTCAGTCATTTCTGTGTTCAACTTATATGATAGTTGGATTTATAATCATTGCATGCCTTTGCGTGAAATTACAGTTGCAGCTATATTGAATGGTTAGTTTGGTGAAATCTTAATCATTTAGGTGTCTTAATCTCTTATTTGAGTTTGTTATTGTTCAGAAAAATTATCCAAATTTGTAGCATCATCAGATAAAGTCCGATTTGTCGGGGTTTGTAGGAAGCTTTGGGATATGATGTTAAATGTTTTTGTTAGAAGATGAAAGAATGGACATTCTTTCCCTTTCAATTATTTGTATTTACCTGTTTTTATTTAAATTTCTTGTGGATGTGCATTTATTTGCAAAATGGTGAAACAAAGCAATAGAAAATTGAATATGTAGTCATTTTCTTAAAATATTTACATAGTTAATTAACAATTCCAAACACAAGTTATATTGTGTAAAAGATTGAAGAAAGAGAAGATTCATAATTTTTTGGTTGGCTATTGTGTTGATTTGACCCATCTGGTTCTCTTAAACGCAATAAAACCAGGTTGTGATCTCTTCGTGGTCTGCTTATTAGACCTTGTTTATATGTAATGCTCATAGTACAATTCATAACGTGTTTTGCATGTAGTTTGATACATAATTAGAATGAATGTCATATATATTCTAAGATGCAAACATATTTCCTTTGTTTAAAAGACATTCGTTTGACTTGCTGTTAAAGAAATTGTCATTTGCATTCAGCGGCGGAGCTGGATGGGGCTGAGTGGGGGCTCGCCCCCACTCAAATTTTTTGAAAAAAAATTTGCTGTGTTTGGAATTTATTCTGTTTTTATTTTTTACGTTTTTCAAAAAAGAAAAAATGAAAATGTTTCCAAAACAACATTTGGCGCAATAAAGACAAAACAGAAATGAAAATGATTTTTTGATTTAAAGGATGTTATTTTCTGTATTCGTCCATGATTTTGAATCATGATTCATGGTCCTCTACAGTGTTTTTTCTCACAAAAAATACACGTAATACGAGAATGGTTCTGAATCATGGTTATGAATTCATGAACCAAACGTTCACTTAGTGTAAAATGAGAGAAATGAAAAACGACTTTTAGTTGTTTTTTATTTTTTGTTTTCGTTTTCTCCTCTCTCGAACAAAGAGAAAGAGACAGAGACATTAATGGGTTTTTTTATGTTGAAAACAATCTCTTGATAAAATTACTAAACGCATTTTTAAAAATGATTTCTGTCTGAGATTGAAAACGTTTTAATTTTCATTTTCATACAAAAAATAAAATTATTTTGGAACGAGTTCCAAACGCACCCATTATTTTTAAAAATTTTAAAATTTTACACTTAAGTCCCCACTGAAATAATATATGCCCCCACTAAAATAAATATATTTTCTTATATGTCCCCACTAAGATAATTTGTTAAAAAAAATTTAGTGTCATTGACGTGAAAGGCTGACTCCGCCACTGTTTGCATTAAATACTTTAGGTTGTTGCTCTGTGCTTTGAGAGTGGACCGGGAGGACCGACGACAAAGTAATATCGGTCCTACTAGTCCGGTTTTTCAGATTGTCTAAGGGCTCGTTTAGTTCGCTGATTCGAGTTGAAATGTGACTTCATGTAAGAGCCTTTTACTGTAGCAAAAAAGTTAGATGTGACTGTAGCAAAACTCGAATTCTAAACTCGATCAGCAAAATGAACGGGGTCTAAGTTTCTAAAAAGTGATTCAGACTGATAGGACTCATTCACTGGGTCTTTGGTCCCTCTGGTACGCTATTTAAATTGAATAATTTTTATAAATCTTAGTTGAAATTTAAAAGAACTTGTAAAATCATTTAAGAAGGTAACGTGGTTAGTGTTGTAATTGATCTTGCAGTGTAACTTAATTTCTATAGTTTATTTATACAATATATGATTTAGTTGCAGGATTGTGATGCTCCTCCCAACCAACAATGAGATTGAGTTGGCACCAGACGAACTTTAAGTGCAAAATTACAACGAAGTGGCCGTTGGCCGAGACGGTTGAAATGATCACCAACGCCTTAAGTGATCTCCCGTATGGAATGCAAGGAGTCACAATTTGGTCACTTGTTCAATGTTCCCCAACATATGGAGATTAGTTTAATACCGATGTGGATGTTACTATGGCGTTCAGTAGAAACTGTAAAGAACAACGGAATGCGGTTCGTTTTAAACGGCGTACCTATTAGAGTGTCTCTCACTGAACACACGCTCATAAGTGGCCTCAATTGCTCTTCTTATCCTCCAAAATCCAAATCATAAACAAATAGGCGGTGAAGAATTCCAGAAAAAATACTTTTTTTTTTTTGAAAAAAAGTAAGATCTTAGTGATGTAAAAGAAAAACTTTAAAATATGAATATCCTGCTTGAAAAGGATTAAAGCAACAGGAGGTAAATGTGTCCTAATATTACTTTGGTCAATTAAATTTGTGAAGTTATGGTAAGCAATGCAAATTTAAAGCTTATTTTATTTATTTTTTAAATGAAATCGTCAAATATAAATGTAAAAAAAAAAAAAAAACAATAGAAGTTCTTGTGTTACAATAATAAAAGTTGTTGCGTTACAATAATAGATGTTGTAGTTGTTGTGATACAATAATATTGATTGTTGCTTACTGAAAATATTAAGTTTGCTAATTTTCTAGAATTAGGATTAGCAAAATTTAAAATAAAATTGAATTGCTAACAGCATGACATCTTCTGTACTGAGAAAAACAAGCATATTGCGGCCTAGTATGCTGGGCGGACCAGAAAGACTAAGCATATCACGTCCTGGTCTGTTGAGCGGACTAGAATGATTAAGTGTACCGCTCTTTGAACTGGTGAAAAAATCGTTCTTCTAATTTAAAAATAGTGTCTCAAATACTTAAATTTATTGAATTATGTTAATAAAATATAAATCCAAGGTCAAAGATCAAAATCTATTCTCCACGAAAAAGGAGCTTACCTTTCCGAGTGAGCAAACCGAAAGAAAAATAGGTACTATAACAATCTCATTCTATTGACTATAGTAAATGTGTCCTAATATTACTTTGGTCAACTAAACTTGTGAAGTTATGGAAAGCAACACCAATTTAAAACTTAATTTTTTTTTAAATGAGACCGTCAAATATAAATGTAAAAGAAAAAAAAAGATATTGTTTTACAATAATAAAAGTGGTTGTGTTGCAATAATAGAAGTTGTATTTATTGTGATACAATAATATCAATTGTTGCTTACTGAAAATATTAATTTTGTTAAATTTCTAGAATTTGGTTAGCAAAATTTAAAATTAAATTAAATTTCTACACAACATGACATCTTTCGTACCGAGAAAATCGAGCATATTGCGGTCCAGTTTGTTGGGCAGACAGGAAAGACCAAGCATACCGCGTCCCGGTTTGTTGAGCGGACTAGAATGACCGAGCATACTGTTCTTCGTTCCAATGAGAAAATCGTTCTTCTAATTTCTAAATAGTGTCTCGAATACTCAAATTTATTGAATTATGATAACAAAATATAAATCCAAGGTCAAAGATCAAAATCCATTCTCCACAAATAGGAGCTTTTCTTTCCGAGTGAGCAAACCAAAGAAAAAACAGGTCTTATAACAATCTCATTCTATTGACATAATGTTACTATAGTAAATGAAGTTGATATGAAGGATAAACAAAAAATAATATCATGGTTTTAGTGTTTTAATTATTTAGTTTGTTTTTTAGCTTTTGGATTGCACTTTAGGATTTCGTTTTAGTAGAGTTTGGATTTAGTTTCAATATTTCGATTTATTTTCATGACATGTTAGCAGTTATGTTGCTAAATTATTTAATTAATTTAATGAAAATTTCTTTAACTTTGATTATGTTGCAATAATTTTTTAAACGTCTCCTCCGCAGGGACTTCCGACCAATCCGCTATTGTTAGGTGGGTATAGAAGACAAAAGAGGTAAGAGATGTGGCTGTGTGAGAAGTATACACACCCCTACCTCATCCGCTACAGTAAAGTTACACTTAAACCTAACTTTATAGTAAGATGTTTAGTTCAAATCCTCTCTCATAAGTAATTAACATATAAAGACATTGGTGCTTTGACTGTTGGCAAAAAATTTGGCATGTGTAGCATTATTTCAAGGCGCATGCAAGAGCCAAGAAGGGCCTATTAGTAAATTTCATGGACAAAAATACCGCCGAAATTTCCAAAATTTTAGATTTTTGAGGGTTGTAAAAATTTTTTCGCTATAATATCGATATTAGTAAAATATCAGGAAAATATTATAAATATTGGTAAATATTAGTCAAAATATTGATATCGATTTACATATAGAGTAATTGGGGTAGAATATCAAAAAATTTTGCGGAAATTTCAGTGATAACGGAAATGAAAATTTTAAAAGTTTTTTTTTTAATTTGCTTTTATAATATATGTTTTCTTGCATTATTTCTTTTGTCATCGAACAAGGAGAGCGAGTAATATCAAGAATGCAAACATCTAATGAAGATAATCTTTTCATGAGTTTACAATCGATGAATTTGGCTTTCAATTATTGCAGCACTTCCAAGAGTCTCCAATATTAATTATCCATATAATCATAATTTTAGAAACTATAATAGGTATGGAATTTTGAATTATCCTCATCCAAATATATCGCTACCATCTCAGGCAAATGATTAGGGGAATTCACAGTTTTTAATTCATAAAAATACAGTGGGAATGGATCGATAGACCTTCATGTGACACGTTCACCAATATTGTTTGAAATATAATATGTATGAATATTTTTGTTTTTTTATGTAAAATTTGTTTATTTATGTATCTTTTTAATGTTGATGCTATTAGAAAGTATTAAAAATATGTTCTAATGTAAATTTTCGTCATTTCCGTAAATTTTTTTGATATTTTCACCGATATCGATATTTTTTTTTTATATTTCTGTAAAATTAGAGTACCGATATTTCTACCGATACTGATATTTTCATCCCTAGTAAATTTAGAATAAAAAAAAAAGAGGAAAACGAAAAAAAGAAAAAAGATAGAAGAATAGTTATGCAATTCATGCAAACGACATGTCGACAATAGGTGAAACAACATTGCGGTCTCATCGATGTTGTTAGGACGAATGGCATTTGTTTTGCAAGCTTAGAAAACGACAGGCCGTTGAGTGACGCATCACAGCTTGACCACGGTTAAGTTAAAACCAAAAACACGTGTAGTTACACTAAGAAAGAAAGAAACGACATGTCGTTTGAAACGAACAAAAGAAAACAAAGAGGACGCAGAGAGAAGCAGCATCTCAAACATGCTATTATATGTTATTATATATCCATAGACGAAAGAAAATTCTGTCGCTTTTCAATAAAGTAAGAACACAATTGTATCAAAGAATATGGTGTTTGAAGTTTAAACATTATAATTACAAAAACTTCCTGTTTAAATGATCAATCACTACAAGGAACCACAAGGAGGTTAGAAATCTACAAACTTTACTTCAATAAAGAAACTCTCAGGGCATGGACTGAAAGGTTGAATTAAACGTTTCGCGTTGCGTCTTCAAAAGCTTGTGGGCTTGTGCGCAACTCACCTCACATGGTGCAAAAATTGTTCGAGTTTGATTGAGCAAATTGGTGAAAAGTTCTAAGGCAACAGCAAACTATATATCTCTCAACATGGGCCAACCTCTTTTGACAATGTCATTGATCTTTGCATCAATATGTTTCTGAATCTCGGGAGGGCAAAGCTCTGCCGCATAGCCGTTTAATGTTGTCGCTAGACTTGAAGCCTCGAGCTCTTCTTCAGACAAGTTTCCGATTAATTGGAGAAGGAATTGATTTTGCTTGAGTTCAAACTTCTGCAAAATTATAGCACCAAGAGCAGGTCAGTCAGTAATTCTTCGAAGTTTGACAAATTATCACACATACAAGAATCTTGTAAAGAACTAGCTACTTTGCATTGAAGTTGTTTAAGTAAAGTACATAACCAAATATGTGAACAATCACATCTTTCTCCAACAAAACATATAGGATCTACAATCTAGGAATCCTCAGCTAGAGCATTGACCAATATCTTTAAATCATTCTTTCTTAATCAGACCCAAAAGCAGAAATACACCATCCCCTTTCATAGGAAGTCATTTCCAATTTCCATGCTCAAGGTGTTCAGCTTTTGGCAAAATCAGTTTGTTTATTTGCTTCAAACATATCCAAGAGATCTCACTTCCAACATGTTAGCCCATCCTGAATTGCCTTAAATTCTAGGGCACCCTAGACAAAATCTAGGAGCAGGAAATTATTTCAATACCAATATCACAATATACTCATTGATCAAAGGATATCAAACCTGATGTTCAGGCTCCGCGGGATAAAATGTCCAGTGTGATTGAATTTGTGTGGTCACGATGCTAACTTTCGACCTCGCCTGCTCTCTCTCTTTGCTCAAAGCAGCCAATCTGGTCTCTTCAGTTCCATTAGTGAAAATAATAGACCTAATCATCAGCACAAATCACTTCACTCTGTGACTGTTAAAAGTTTCAAAACGAAGTCAACAAATTGTCGCCGGAAACAGCCATTTGATTCTTACCTGTACTGGTTACCCACATCAGGTCCCTGCCCAAAAACTTGCCTAGAATCATGACTAGACCAAAAAACATCCAAAAGTTGCCGGAAACTAATAAGCCTAGGATCATATTCAACCTGCAAACGTTTTCAAATATTTATAAGGAAATATAATGAAATCTAATCATTGACATTGCTAGTAAAATGCACATACTCACTTGATGTGAAATCCAACAAGTCAAATCTTTTGCTCATTTCATTGTGAAATTATTCACTTTGATTCCTTATTGCTATGAGATTTCTCCAAATCTTTACACAATTTCCTCATAAACTTGAGAATGACAAAGTAAACGAAAAAGATCGAATCTTTTCCCAAGAACAAATAATTAAACGAGAATCAAGCTTTAATTATCACCAAAAAGCAATAAATTTTGTAACAATATTAGGCCAATTTGCTTCTTTAGAGTTCAAGCGTACAAAAATCAAACCGAAAACAAAATGATTTTTTCTTAAGAGGAAAACCTGGACGGATTCGGCGTGGTCGCCCAAGCTCCGGTAGACAGGGTTGTTCTTGGATCCGCCGGCATAACCGACGGTTGTCCGTACAACGCCTTTGAGGCAACCGAAGACGGCCTCCGATCTCCAGAAGCTTCCGAGAGCGAAAACTGCCGTTCTCAGAGAGGGCTGGTGGTGGATGATCTGCTGGTGTCTGGCGGAGTCGGAGATCTGATTGGGGATTCTTATACACAGAGCTCTCTGAGCCACAACGAGCATTAGCAGAAGTAAGCAATTGCCATGGCGGACATTGCTCTGTGCAGAAGCCATTGGGTTTCGGTTTTTCTCTCTCTCTCTCTGGAACAGCGATGGCCGACGGTATTGATTTTTGCTTGTTTTATTTAACTTTCTCCTTTTTTTTTTTTTTTTTTTTTTTTTTTTTTTTTTTTTTTTCTGTTTCTTAAATTACATATAAGTAGAAAGAATAAAATGGGAGTATTGGACACGAAAAAGTACCCTGTCACATGGTAAGATAAAATTAAACAAATTGTAATACTTTCTTTAATTTCATATGTCAAGTGGATAAAATTCAACTTTCCAAAAAAAAAAAAAAAAAAGTGTACAAAATTCATCTCTGCTAATATATATTTATCAAACCCTTAATAATGTAAGTATATTCAAAAAATGATCATAAAAAACGTGTTTTTTAAACTTGAAGAACCAATAACCCTAAAAAAAAAAGAATCAATAATTTATATGATTGAAAAATGATAAATAAAACATACCTTGATAAACAAGTAGCAAAATTATAGACATTCTAGCCAAATAGACTTAAAAAGGACTACAAAACGCAGCCTTTTTAACGGTTATCTTTATTGATGTAATTGTATTCTCCAGGGTAGTGATTTTTAGACTTTAAAATCAATTTTCTAACTTCACAAATCATAACTGAAATTTATATTTAGTAAAAATCATAAAAAATGATTCTTAAAATTTTTTTGAAGAACTTATAGTTAAAATCAAAAACCGTTCAAAGACAATTTTAACTGTTCAAAGACAATATTAACTGTTAAATTGTCTAAATACTTAACTGTAACCTGTTTTTTAACACAGTTAACAATAATTTTTTTTAAAATCTATTGCACTACTAAGCCCAATATGGATGAACAGAACCCAAAAATACTCTTTACTTGTGAAGACAAGTCAATGAGACGTGGTGATTAGTAGAACCTCGTCAATTTTTTTTGTTAAGAACCGTTTGGTTAGAAGATTCACTTTCTAATTCGAATCATGATTCATAATTTGTTATAGTATTTTTTCTCATAAAAAATACACGTAAATAAAAAATAGTTCTAATCGCATGGTTCTAATCTATGAACTAAGCAGGCTCTAAATAAATTTAAAATTGTTTGGTTAGGAGATTCATACCCTGATTCGAATTATGATTCATGATTCGCTATAGTATTTTCTCTCACAAAAAATACACGTAAATTAAAAATAATTCTAATCTCATGATTCTAATCCATAAACTAAACGTCTCATCTCTTCATGCTCTCTAATCCCTTTGACTATAACAATTCTAAAGACTACCGAGTATGTAAAAAAAACCTATAATATGTAAAAAGAGCCTAAAATAATCTCTTATTGACCATCTAATCAATTTTACTTCCCTCCATCCTAATGAGACCTATGGAGAGCCACTTAAGCTCCCACAAAGACAAGACAGCAACACAGGTGCAGAGTATAAAATCCTGAGAAGATAGACAAGACCTAACAAAAACTTCCTCACCACTATACCGCGACCCTCGTATAACCTCGTCAAATTGGGGCTTGGTATGTTTATGAACGAGGAAAATATCTACCCCAAAAGTCAGATATGAATTATTTCAACTACTCATTCATAAGGAGGCACAAAATCTCGTTTGCAATTGTAAAATAATAATAAACTAACAAGCGCTTCCAACATAACAAAATTTCTAACACAAGGGTTCATCATGCTTTTGCAGTCTTGCTTGAGATATAAAGTTGAAAAGTAAAAGACACCCAAAACCAGAACAATCTAGCCAAAAACAATAACTTCTTAAGCCTTGTCGGCCTTCGCAGCAGTAGCAGCAGCTTGTCCTCTGAGCCGACCAGTTCTCCTGGCAGCAATGAGACCAACCTTTTGGCCAGGAGGAGCATCACGCCTGACAGTGCTAGCATGACCAATGTGCTGGTGGTTACCTCCTCCGTGAGGATGCTCGACTGGGTTCATAGCCACACCACGAACCTTAGGCCAGCAGTTCCTCTTCACTCTGAATTTGTGGTAGGCATTACCGGCCTTGAGAAGAGGCTTCTCAGTCCTACCTCCACCGGCAACCTGCCCAATCATCGCACGGCAGCCGCTGGGAACAATCTTCTTGGCACCAGATGGGAGCTTGATCCTATTAGAGAACGTGCAAAAAAAAAAAAAAAACACAAATAGATTAGCAATTTGAAGAATTGTTACACACCAAGTCACTAAATAATAAATATAGAATGTTGTTGTTCATTCTTTTATTTTTTTCTAAATCTAGAAGCCATACAAACCAAAACCAATAACAATTACAAAAACAGATATTCTCCTTCAAATACGATAAGATTCTATATAGACATCCTCAACGTAAAACACCTAAATTTACAAAAGAAATAGGCTGTGTATAATCCTTAAGCCAAAACTTCTTATCCAAAATCCATTAGCAGTAGTATCACAGCACTAAACAGTCACAAATAACAATCTTCATCACAATAAAGTAACCCGCTAAGTATATTCTATATTAATTGATCAAATTCCGTTATATAATTTGCACTGTTAGGAGTTAAATTACGAAGGAGTAATATAAAGAAATAACAATTGAACAGAAAAAAAAAGTTTTCCTTTTTATACAGAACAATCAACAAGTTCAATTTGATATATTTTCCTTCATTTACGGGGCTGAATCACGAACCAAACACCATTTCTGAGTAACATTGAAAAATTTGGGGTAATTCAAAATTAATTAATAATCCAATCAATTAATCAGAGAAAATCACAATCATTTGATCTACATTCTATATAACTAGGTTTACCTAAAAACCAAAATACCATTTCTATGCAGAACAAATTGATGTAAATTCGAACTAATCATCAATCAGAGATAAACGCATAAACATATATCCAATGTAAGGAAATGAAAATGAGAAGAAAAGGAAAAAAACCTGGAGGTGTCGTTGTCAGGGTTGTGGCTGATAACGACGGCGTAGTCACCGGAGCACCTAGCGAAGACGCCGCGATCGCCGACGTGGTGTTCAACATTGCAGATGACGGCACCCTCGGGGATAGATCTGATCGGGAGGACATTTCCGACGACGAGAGTGGCCTTCTTACCGCAGTAGACGAACTGACCGGTGTACATGCCCTCGGCGGCGACGAAGAGCTCGTTCTGCTTCTTGTAGCGGAAGGGATGGCGGAAGGAGACCTTGGCGAGGGGGGCGCCGCGGCCGGGGTCGTGGATGATGTCGGTGATGACGCCCTTGAGGTAGCCGTTGCGCTCGCCGAAGTCGAGGCTGCGGAAGCGGGCGGGGCCCTTGCGGTGGTGGGTGTGGGACTTGAAGACGGAGCCCGCACCCTTACGCTGAGCTCGGATCACACGTCCCATGGCGGCTAGGGTTTGCAGAGAAGAGGAGAAGGAAAGGAGGGGAAACGGCCAAGGAGACGAGCTCTGTATGTGTGTGTGTGCGCTGTGGGAGAGCTAGGGTTTTTTGGCTGTGTGAGAATATATAGGGGTGCGGGGTTGTGATGCCACACGGCGTCGTATTGTGTTGACAAATTGAATTATTTTTTCGACCTTGAATTCTAAGTATTTATTAAAATAGACGAAATTGAAGAAAGTATCTTATGATTATCCCTTTAAGATCCGTCCCCGACTCATACCAAATTGTGGTAAATAACAGTGGCGGAAATTTTTGTTAAGATACGTTTATTTTATCAATTTAAATTTTATTATATTAAATTATTTTTAAAAATAATTATATTTAATTTTTTTATTAAGTAAAATTTTTTATATAAAATCACATTTTAATTTGAATTAACAAACTAAACAGGTTCGGGGGCATGATTAAACTAAAATTTTGAACTAAAATTTTAGTGTAGTAATTTTTTACCTTTATTTATCTATTTTCTTCTTTCTATGCTATATAAATTAAGTTTTTAATAAAGTTAGTTTTTTTTCTTTAGAATTAATAGAGTAAAATTAATATTTAAAGTCTAAAAGCTTATAAATTTATATTGTAGTATAGTTAATTTTCTTTAAAAAACTATGAAGAAATGACAATTAAAAAATTTGAGTGGGGGCAAATAAGAAGAAAAATGTCACAAATTAAGTGTTGGGGCAAAATTTAAAATAAGTCTTTGGGCGCAGTTGGAGCAGCTGCCCCATTAGGCTTAAAACAGCTCCGCCAATGGTAAATAGTATTTTTTTTATGAAACTATAGTAAGTAAATAATATATTTTAAAAATACTTAAAATAAATAATAATAAATAGTAAATTTACTAGAAGGAAAACAAAAAAATTTACATTGTATATGCCGAAAGAGACGAATTGTATACTGTGAAAGAGTTAGGGTTTTTTTTTTTTTTTTTTTTTTTTTTTTTTTTTTTTTGTAAGAGTGAATATGAAGGGTTGTGGGATTGTGATGCAACACTGTGCTGTATTGTGGGGGTTTGAGAAATTTCTTTCTTCACATATTTGACCATGAATTTTAAGTATTTACTAAGAATTGGTTAAAATAATTTTTTCTTTCTTTTTTTTCTTCTTTTTTTTTTTTAAAAAAAGGCAATCAATGTGATTGGGCTATGAACATTTAAATGCGTCACCATTCAGAATTTATACTTCTAATTTGACATTACAGGGCATATTTGGCAAAGTATCCTCTAAGATATTTTTGATTTTCTGGATTGAAAAAGTTGTTTCGAAAAGTGCTTTGATGATTTTTTTAGAAGAGTTTATAATAAAAACTATAAAATGTAGCTTCTAAAAGAAGTTGTTCTTAATAGAATTTAAACTTATTATAGTTTTACTAAAGCAATATAAACTTCATTCTAATATTTTTATTGTTTTTAGAAAATTATGAAATCATTTTAGCTTATTAAGTTCTTTTGAATTACGTGGTTTCAAAACCTCCCCCTTTTTTTTTTTTGAAAAATCAAAATTTTTACCTTTTTTTCTCGACTGCAAGCAAAACCAAAAACTATGCGTCTATACCAATTGCACCATATTATCAAAATTAGTAATTTTGGGGCCAACTTGTAAAAATCCAAAAAATTGGAGCCCCAACAATGCTCCCTAATAATTAATATGCCCACATCAAGGAAACGACACTAACGACATAAAACAAGAATGAACTGCTACAAAACGACAACAACGAATAACAAAAATAACAACTAAACGACGTAAAAAACGAAAGAAACATTTTTGGGGATATTTACATTTTTATCCCTGTGTTTTGAGTTTATTCAAAAACTATACCTTCAGTTTTTAATCTCATCAAATGTATATCTTTAAATTAAATTTAATATCCACATTTATACCTTTTTACAGTCAACTCTCGATTTTAAGTATAAAATACTTAAAATACCTTTAAATAAAAAGGGAAACAGAAAAAAACTAAAAAAAAAAACTTTAAACTTACATTTTTAACCTAAAAAAATATCTAAAATACCATTAAAATGGTTATTTTGTGTTTTTAATTTTTATTTTTTGTAAGGTTGGAAAGTTTTAGTTTTATTTTCTCTCTTTTTCTTAAGGATAGTTTGGTAATTTTAAAGGTCAAAATCAATTATCGACCGAGATAAGGGATATATTTATATATTAAATCAAATTTAAAAGGTATGTATTTGATGAGATCAAAAGTGAAAGTATACATTTTAAATAAACCTAAAACATAGCGTATAAAAATGTAAATATCTTCCCTTTTTTTATGGGAAACGAAAGAAACATTGGATCGGACAATAATCCAATATATTACAAAATAATGATAACAATATTAAACCACAACAAACTTAAAAACGACGATGGATTTCGATGTAGAAAACTCATCTAAATACATTAGTGATGTAAAAAAAATAAAAAATAAAAAAAATAAAACGATGATTACATTATTAAACGACAACAATCTTAAAAAACGACAATAGATTTGGTTGTAGAAAACTCATCTAGGTACATTATTGATTATTACAAAAAACAAAACAAAAAAACAAAAAACCAAAAACAAAGCGATGATAACACTACTAACAGAAAAAAAAAAAAAAAAAAACCCTCAACAATGACAATAGATTTAGTTGTAGAAACTAGAAAACTCATCCAGATACTTAAAAGAGACAAGAAAACAAAACAAAATGTGATTGATTCAAGAATGACAATACATTTAGTTGTAGAAACTAGAAAACTCATCTAGATACTTAAAGAGACAAGAAAACAAAACAACATGTGATTGAAGAAGAAGTGAGAAAAATTTAAATGGAAGATGATCAATTGCGAAACTGAAAATGGTGAGCAGATAGTAGCTCTAGAAATATTTATGATCTCTTGACTAGATTTAAAATTTGTTCTGAAGCAAGTTGTTAATTATTCTTTTCTTTGCTAGAAAAGCAGAATCATTGGATAGATGAAAAAAAAATCTTATTATAACAAGCTAACAACTTTGATTATATATTTTTTTTCAAATCTGGATTTTGATAAGGTTTTTTTTTTTTTTTTTTTTTTTTAAATGGGGTTAAGGTTTTTTTTTTTTTTTTTTTTTTAAATGGGTGCCAAACAAGTTAAACTTCCCAACACATTAATGGGCTCCTCATTGGACTCTACCGCATGCATGCTTAGAAGGTGATGCATAGAGAAGAATTAGAAACAACAACAATGGTATATAAATACAGGGAGAGGCGTATTAAGGTCTCATTTGCTTCGCAGATTTGAGTTGAGATGTGACATTTTTTTAGAGCTTTTAACTGTAGCATAAAAAGTTAGATGTGACATTTTCTGATAATTTTTAACTGTAGAAACTTAAAATTGAAAACTCGAATCGGTGAAATGAACGAGGCTTGCTAATTTTAACTGTGTTGCTGGGCTAATTGGCACTTACCGGAAAAAACAATGCACTGTATATGCACTAAATATAAATCAAAATGATGAAATGAAGTACTAATTTCAGAAATTTATGCACATCCAAATTGAATATTTAGTGCATATATATATATATATGCACTAAAACATTTTGATTTATATATATCAGTAATTTCTCTTAAGCCTTCCGCAGTGTCACTAAAAATGTAATCTCATATGCATATAGCATGAATATATAACATCGATCGCCACACACTTATAAGATATTGGTATTCTATTTTTTGTTGATCAATACGGATGCTAATATTTTGCCCATATGCCTAAGAAGTCCCTCTTTGGCACAAATATTTGATGATCCCCGAACGGAAATTATAAAATCTACTTGTCATAACTTGTATTAAATTTTTAAGAAGCTCTCAATATGTAGTTGGTAAAACCAGTACTAAAAAGAAACTTAGTAAAAGTAAAAAACAAGACGAGCAAACCATTTAATGCTGCTAACTAGACAGAAGTCAGATAAAACAAAAGCTAGACCAAACTCTCTTCATCAGGAGTTCTTGGGAGACATTATATATATATATATATATATATATATATATATATATATTAGTTTAAACCGTACTTATAAGATTTTGTAAATAGAATTGAAAAACATATTTATTAGAGTCTTCAAAATGTATAATAAGATAAAAAGAATAAGATTAAAAAAAGGAAAGAAAAAAAAAGAGAGAAAAAATGAAAAAGAAAGAAAAAGAAAAAGAAAAAGGAAGATAGTTTTTAAATAAGGAAAATTCTATAATACTGTAACACCTTAAAGAATTAATTGAGATTAATTAAGGTAATTGAGATTATTAGTGTGCCTAATCTAGATTATTAATTGAGTTTAATTAATAAATGTTTCTGACACGGGTGAGTTTAAATAGTTTCAAGGTATTTAAATTATTCTCAGTAATTTATTTTAAACCAGAAGTGTGTGTAGGTGAATTTCTGGACTGCTCTTTTAAAATATTGACACTTGTCCATTTTCTTTCCTTTTTCTTTTTCTTTTCTTTTCCTTTTTCCTTCCTTCCTTCCCGTGCGTCTCTCCCCCACTCTCTCTCTCACTCTCCCGAGCTCTCTCTCACTCACACTCTCTCTCATTTTGTCCCAAATCAAAACGGATCTTGAACCAAAGAAAGATTTAAAGAAGTTTTTAACGTCAAGAGAAGGATTCGAGGTAAGATTACTGAAAGAACCTCTCTTGAATCTCAAGTTTTTGAATTTCAAAACTTATTTTTGGTTCAAACCGGATTTTGATAGTTTTTGAGTAAAACTGACTATAAATTGGAGATCTTGGGTTCTTTGGACTTGTTTTAGGACCTAGAACCCAGATCTAGTTGTTTTCCTTTGAAATATCTCGATTTGGGACTGCATTTGCAGGTTTTGGATTGATTTCTGCGAGCTTCTCTCGCGCAGCTGATTCCACCGGTCAACCTGTGCGGTCGACCGGATCACATGGAAACCGGTCGACCGGACTGTAGGCTGACCGGTCGACCGGTGTGCACATTACCGGTTGACCGGTAGTGTTGCACTGCTCTGTTACCGGTCGACCGGTTGACACGGGGTTTGACCATGTTTGGCCTGAAAA